AAAAAAAGGAAAAACAAAACAAAAAAAATACACACACACAAAGATAAAGTTTAACCTACTTATATAATTTCTAAACTACTTATAAATGAATTTAAATTGGCCGCTGAATAACTTATAGAGGTATTACTTGGTAATAAACTTTCATTAAATAACTAATATTAGGAAAAGATTTGTTAATATTTATTAAATTATAACTTAACTTCCATCAATGTATATATGAAGTAATTTTGATTTAGTAGCAAGGAAAAATGCAACATATATAGTGATTTGTTTTGTTATTTATCATTAGATCATAATTGATATTTTTAGTGAAAAGTTGATTGGTGTCATTTGATTGATTATTTCATAACACGTATATTTTATCAATTATAAAAAATCCCAAATCTTATATTATATAACTTTCTTAACATTAAAAATCTTTATTATTTAAGAAACTCAGCAATCAAGTTTTGAGATCCGAGAAATTACACTTATTGTAACCTCACACATGACCGAGAGAAGTGTGATAAGATTATTGTCAAGTGCAAACCTCGAAATTAAAAATCCCACCGTTAAATTTCAAATTTAGTTACAAATAAACCAAACAATTATATATTTTGTCGGCAACAATATGGACAAAAGCAAACGCACAATCCCATGTTAATTAATTATATTCTCCTAACCTATAAAACCAAATTGAAATTTTTTTTTTTGGGTCAAATGAAGTTCAATTTGGTCTTAGAGTGTGGAGCCAAAGGATGAAAGGAAAGTCACATTAAAACTGGTTTGTGAATAACATCCCTCTAAAGGTGAATTGGCAATGGTTAAAAACAGTATTTCAACGTTTTGGCAAGATGATAGACGTGTTCATTGCTCAAAGAAGATTCGAGCATGGAAAAAAGTTTGGATTTTTTAGATATGAGTTTCAAACAGATGCTTTCAGAGCTGTTGAAAGATTGACTGGTGCATGGTTCTTGAACCAAAAGTTGGAAGTAAACATCTCTAGATTTGGGAGCAAAGAAGGACAGATGAGCAAGGGGCATTTTTTTTTTTTTTTCTAAGTGAAAACGAGGAACTGGCAGTGGAGTGAATAGGCAGAATATACTGCTTAGAACTCTAAGATATCCTACACGCAAGCATTGATGTTTAGAAATGACGAAGTAAGGGAAGAAGGAGAACTGAGTTTTGAGAAAGGATGTGCAACAGAGTACAAGGAGCAAAGGGGAAATTAGCAATGATAACCTACACAGTTACTGATTTTCATGTGGAGTCTACAACATTCATGGAGTTTTTTCAAATAAATTGATTCTCAAGGTGAGAGCTTTAGGACCAAAACATTTTCTCATTCCCCTGTTTTTGCATTGAAGTTGAAGACGAGGCTGAGGTGGTTAGCTCTTCCAAGATGGCAAAAACTGACCGGAGAAATATTGGAGAAAAAGCCAAGTAATGATAACTTAATTAGCTATGAAGAGCTCTACAAAGGAATCAATAGGGAATATTCACGAGGTCGGTGTTTCTGAAATTAAGGAAAAAGTGATGGAAGCGTACGTGAGAGGGGCCACTAGAAAGCCAAAAGAAAAAATTGGTGAAAGGAGACGACAATGAAGAAGAAGAAGAAGAATCAGATTCAGTCTGTGGGCTCGAGGGTGATGACAACAACCCCAAGGTGGCCATTACCCTAAAAATATCACAAGCAAGAATGTTTTGATCAGAATCAAATAGTGATTGGGCCCCGGCAGTGGCAGGAGCCTACTAATGAACATCCATTGTCCTAGTTTAAAAACCATAAATCAAGCTGCTTGAGGGAGATTGAGGAGAGATTAAGAGAATAAATTTGAAGAATAAAGGTAGGCAGCCAAGAAAAAACCAAGTGTCTCTAGATTGTTGAAGCAAATCTCGGAGTTGTCAATAGTGGCTATTCAATGGTTATTGAATCCTTCTAAAAGACCTTGGAAATGGTGGAAATTCTATCAACAGATTGATATGATACATAGTAACGTTATTGGAAGTGTCTATTTTGGTTTTCAGAATATATTTAGAGAAGCTAACCAATAATGTGCCGACATTTTTGTTAAAAGAGGTGTGCAAAAGAACGATACGTGGGTGGGGTGGTACTGAATTTTTGGTGCTTGGCAGGTGAGGAATCTTTAATTTAAGATGTGTTTATGTTGATGATGTATTTTGTGTTATGGTGATTGATGCTATTCTGGAGAGTGTTACAATTTTACGTATCAGGGTTGTGACCAATCTTGGTTTTTTAATAAAAATATTAATGGTTTAGAAAAATTTTAAAATTTCAAAAAATATTTTTTGAAATATTTAAATTTTTTATTCTTTAAAATTATATGCTTTTATGATTATAAAAATAATTATCAAAATTCACTTAGTAAGATAAAAAAAAAAGGTAAATATCATCTCTTATTATTTTTGCATAATGCTCAAATAAGTTCATAAACTATTCAAGAAAATTCAAAAAAATCTTTATTTTTTTATTACATTCAATCAAGCTGCTATATTTTTATTTTAGATCAAATAAGTAATTACCATCATTAGTCAAAATGCTACTTATCATTTTATATCCACATGACACTGATATAACGTTGTTGTGAAAAATGAAAAATGACACATGATCATATTATCATACTAAATTAGTATGTCACATCATCATCAATTATAATATACTAACATACTACGTCAATGCCATATGACATAGAATGAAAATAGACATTTAAGGTTTATTTGGCTCAAATGAATAGATAGAAAAAATTGTTAGATTTTCTCAATACAGAATTATGGACTTACATTATTTATGTTTATTTTATCTTTTATAAAATAGGCTAAGCTTACTTAATCCTGATAAAGTGACAATTAATTATATCTTATAATTAGATCTACTTAATCACGTATGTGGCAGAGATATATGAATCTATTGATTCATGAATCTGCTGATTTATATATGCAATAGTGATACATGAATACATACACCGGTTCATGTATGCAATAATAATAATTGAATATAATAAATGTGGACTTGATGTGTAGGTCTATAGGAAACTCTTATCTCCCATAATGAGTGGGACTAGGGATTTACTATATAAAGGAAAGGCTAGGTCCCTTTTCTTGTCATTCAAAATATAAAGATCTCATCCATTAGAGAGTTAAAAAGAAAAATAGATAAAAATTCTAGTACACTGAAAATCAGCAGTCAATCTAATCAATACTATTTCAACTGATAGATCATAAATAAAAAATCAGGTACACCTAATATTCTAAATTTTTATTATAGTGGATCCTGAATTTTTATAACTTTATTTATACATAAAGATTTTATCAAAAGTTCCTTTTAAGGTAGAGCCACCTCTGTTTTCTAATTAAAGTAACAAAGTTTCTCCATCGTTGCTATCTCCAAGAACAAAATCAACAATCTTGTGCTAACAAGAAAACTTAGATTTATTCAACATATAAGTTAACAAGACAATGTGCTAATCAATTAAGGGATTTGATTGTGGAACATGATTTAGAAAGCCAATTTATCCTAGAACCAAGTAAACGAAGCAGGTGGACAACTAAGATTCTCAAATGCAAACGTCCAATAAGCTGTATCTGGACTCGGCAATAGCCGCAGCCAGGTATTACTTTTGGCTCGCTTTTGCCTTTGCTACTTTTGATTTTCATTTGTTTTACGAACAATGAAAGGAGCTTGGTAGAATTATCCAAAGGCATGGATTAAAGCTAAATTCCAATGATAATATGAATAATCTTGAACAAAGTTGATATCCATATATGCTACTATTTAAGATTAATACCAATTGGCAGACAGTCCACGTTGAACCTTGACTACATATAACATTAATCATGGAAATTACATTGAACTTTAACAATTTATATATATAGCAATCAATTATTTTTTTCAGCTTCATCAAGGAATTGCACTACATTTATATTGGTTTTATATAGCAAAATCATCTTCATTACATATGCATGCTTAGTTTAATTTTTCTAGGCTCCAATAAATTTATGTAGGTGATGATGGCATAAGATTGAGACGTGCTCCCCCACCAAATATTGGGAAATACAAAAAAAGTAATCAGTGTTGAAGGAAAAGACAAAACACATTTGTCAACAAGATCGAGTGGTGAACATAGGGTTTTAATCAGAGACAGAATTAGAAATTTTTTTTAAATTGTGTCATAATTAAACTATTTTGATTTAAAGTTTTTTACCCTACTTCTTACAAAAGCGCAAAAAAAAATAATGAATTTATTCGTGTCCTTAATTATATAAAACTCTAATATAAGTAAGATAATTAGTAGAGATTTTTGACACTTCAATAGTGTCATTTTGACACCAATCTACTCTGCGTCGATTCGTCCCTGGTTACAATTTGTAAGATGGAGAAAGATTATTTAATTTTTGCTGAGCAACCCAAATTCAATAATTTTCAACCTTCGATATATAACTTGTATAGAGTCATTAATTAAGAAGGCATTAACATGGTAGGGTATATATGTCTAATTGGTGAGCATATTCATAACAACATGCATGCATGCATTGTTTATTTTTTATAATTTTAGTTTGTAATTAATTCGATTTCAAAAAAAATTATGACTTTTACATAAAAAACAACTTTTCTCATGTTCCCACTCCAAGCTAATTACATCACATGCGAAGCTGAAACATTAATTCTTTTTAATTGTGTACTTCACAGAATGCTAAAACAGTTAACAATAGATTTGAACCATTTTGCTACTATTTACAAGATTTGTAAATGGTATTACATTAATCGAAGGTCTCAACTCCCACTTAATTTAGCGATATGTATTATCACTCTGGGAAAAGGTAAAGATTCAAGATTTTGTTCTCTCTGGGTAAACGATCAAGCAATATACACACATAAAAACACTATTCGAATTTGCATGAAAGGCCGATTGAAGGATGTCTTCTGCTTGCTAAAGCCATACTCCTGACTTCCTTGATTCCTTTCTCTCTTCAGCTGGTTAATTTCATCGGGGAAGAATATTTTAATCAGAGGCTATCCGTAAGGGACTCTTGAGAGGAATTGGTACGGCCTTTAAGGGAACAGATTTCCTTAGTGATATACCCATTCTCTCGGTCATATCCATGTCTTCATGTTTTAGCCCATCAGCTAAAGTCCAATCAAAGGAATTTAAAAGAGACCCCAGCGCCATTGGGAGCAGACGAGATGCAAGAGGCACAGCCGGACACATCCTACGACCAGACCCGAATGGTATAAACTCAAAATGATGTCCCTTGTAATCCACCGTGTCTGCTTCCAAGAATCTCTCTGGTTTGAATTCCAGAGGTTCTTGCCATGTTGTAGGATCTCTTCCAATAGCCCAAACATTGACCAAAATTTGTGTTTCTTTAGGAATATGGTAACCCAACATTTTGCAGGAGTCCATGGCCATGTGAGGGACTAAGAAAGGGAGGGGTGGATGAAGTCGTAATGTTTCTTTGATTACTGCTTTAAGGTATGGGAGGTTTTCGATGTCCTTCTCTTCAAGCTTCTTACCAGGGTCTAAAGTGCTCCTCAATTCAGCTTGGACAAGTTTCATTGTCTTAGGGTTATGTAGGAGCTCAGCCATAGCCCACTCTAAAGTGCTAGTAGTTGTGTCAGTTCCTGCAGTGAACATCTCCTGGCAATCCGTACATCAAAGTCAAACGATTGATATGGAAAAGTTTCATTCTGCAAAATTCCAAAAAAAAAAATAAATAGAACGAGCCAACTTACAAAAACAATGACATTGACGGTTCTAGAAGAAAACTTAGATGGCTGCTCAACGCCATCAGCACGAAATTCCAAAAGAACATCCAAGAAGTCTTTTCTTTTCCCTTTATAATCTCCATTTTCCATACTTTCCATCCTTTCTTTGATGAATTCTCCTGCAATTTCAAAAGCTCGTTCGACATGGAATTGGGTTTTCCTCCTTATACCTTGCGGGTCAAGACATCTCAGAAATGGCAAGAAATCTGCACAATTTGGCTTACCAGCCAACTCCATGACTTTCCCTGCATGGTAAGAAAACTTTGCACCCCTCTCCGATTTAGTATCCAATAAATCTTTGGAAAAAATTAGGTTTCCAATTAGATTAAAAGCCATCAAGAAAAAGAATCTCCCGACATCAATAGAATTAGTACCATTAGCACCAGCATCTTCAACAAATTGCACCATCCGATCTACGCACCTTTCTCGTACGCCCCGCATAGCATCAAGGCGGCTAGTTACGAAAAACTCTGTGGTGGATAAGCGCCTTAACATGCGCCAATGCGATCCATACTGAGATGTAATAAGAGACCCCTCATGGCCAAAATCTCCTTTCATTGCCTCGTAAATTTTTCGTCCCGCAAGCACCACATCATGGTTCTTGAACATTTCACGAGCCACCTCGTTGGACGAGATGACCACGGTGCTCATTGAGCCAAGCCATAGAGTCATGATGGGTCCATGTTGACGAGCCAACTTAGCAAACGATACATGCGGTGCCCAACCTAACTGGAAGATATTGCCAACAACAGGCCACCACCTTGGCCCTGGTGGAAGCTGGCCTAGCTCTTCCAAACGCCGATGCCGATCTGTCACCATGGCCCATGCAACCCATAGTAAAAGGGCTACACTTAACCCCAGGATTTCGTACTCCATTTTTTTTTTCAGTTTAGATAACAATGGTTTCCCAGGTTAGAGCAGGCTCCTTTTTTATAAGAGCTTGTGGATATAGTTACGTGACAAAATCATGCACAAACTTAGCATGGAAAATTTTTTGACGGGAATCTTCACTATTTTTCTATGAATTAGATGTATGGAGTTTTCTTGCAAGTTGTAATAAAATAAGCCAAATCTTGAATGAAGATACGGATTCAATCAACATGTTCATTGTTTATTCTCCTTTGTATGTACTGTGTTTATAATTTGATTTCCCCCGTCCCCCCCTTCCCCACCCTAAAACTGTACGTAGAATAGAGCCAAAATTCTTCACTAAACTATGCTCTTAGATTTTATTCGAATCCCCCGAAATTTTTCCCATGAAGCATAGGAAGAAGATATGAAGACGACACTAGAATATATCTTTGATAGAAACTCCCTAGCTAACCAAAATTAAGATGAGTATCAAGTCATCTCAACACTTTCAATCTCACTCAATTCTAAATTAAGGATTTAATTAGCATCGATTAGCCTTCATATTGTTTCTGCTACAATCAGAGAACTTGCTTGCTCTTCAGGATAAGAGCTGCAAGGTAATTAATCCCCTGACAATTCATCCAAACACAAACAAAAACATAATAAATTTATTTGTGGTCCTTAAATTTCGCTAATAATGACTTCTTTTTTTTTCATTAATGGTGACTTCTCTTTTAGTTCGTGGTCCTCAAATTTTGTTATCAACCACTGAAAGTTGCATCTATATACGGGCATTTGCTAGAATTCCAAAAAAAAAAATAATTTACATGTATATTTTTTAATTTATGAATCATTAACATCATCAAATGTAGACAAATAATTCGAGTCATAGATGATGAAAAATGTCAGAAGAGTGGAATAATTAATAGGGCAAAATAAGTTTGAATTGATTAGAAGTAGATCTTAATTACGTGATATTTGATTTAGTTTGTATAGAAATGGTAGCCATCCTATTCGTGCTTTGGTCATAAAGTCTAAAGTGAGACTAAAATGACGGTAGAAAATCGATCAAATTATGTAATTAATTTTTGTATTTTATCAAAATAGTGAATTTAATCTCTATATAATAATTTGTTAAAATTGAATTTTTATATTTTTTAAAAGTCATAATATCAATACAATATGTTAAAAATTTTCTATTATCTATACTGATATAACATTTTGTTAGGTTGACGCTGTATTTTCTTATTAATTTGATATTGAATCTGATAATATGCTAATTATGATGTGATATTTTATGAATGATGTAATAATAGTATTGACATGGCGTGATCAAATACTAACATAGATTTTACAAGTGTGGATATAAAATTATCTAATATGAATTAATGGTTTTAAATAGTATCAGAATATAAATAAATCAAAAATACATATGAGTTTCTAGGATTTAAGAAAAGAGTGTTATAAGATAGAAAAAAATTGAATTTTTGTACCCCATAATTTAAAATGATGAAAAAAAATGTTGTGAAATAAATAAATAAAATATCATATTATCATTAATAGATTATCATATTCAATGTCACATTAATAAAAAAATAACATGTCAGTATAAATAATAAAAAAATTTTAATATTATTAACAATTAAACTAATATTATCAATTTTAGAAAATATTTAGATTTAATTTTTACAAATTAATGTAGAAAGATTAAATTTACTCATTTATCAAAATATAGAGATTAATCCTATAATTTAATTTAAAAAATTTGATGAGGTTAGGCGGTGGGTAAGCTGTGGCAAGTTCAGTCAAATATTGCCATTCAAATTCGGTATCAAATTAAAATGAATGACATGTTTGAAGTATACTTGATAATGACATATAAAAAACACGTTGATGATGTTCATGTACCTGCTTATTACATGATAATGACCTATCAAACATTGCAATTAAAGTAACTCTTTTATTCATTAATTTAAAAAAATTCAATAAAAGCAATTAATTCAGGGTCCCAGCTTTAAGTGATCTTTAAGTTTGATTAAAAATAGTATCAAAGATTGATAAAAAAAGAAATGTGATCTTCTTAGCTAATGGATCAAGATTTTATAACATAATATTTAAAAAAATTTTAAATTATTCATAAAAATTTAAATAAATTTTTTTATATTTATTATGATCAATCAAGTTTTTATATTTTTATTTTGAGTCAAATAAGTCATTGTATTTTTATTTTGAATTAAATAAATTTTTTTATTTTTATTTTAAATCAAATAAACTTATATACTTAGATAAAGTACACTAATTTTTTAATTTTTAATCATAATTACACGCAAGTCTATTAGTATTCAAAACATACAATCCACCTCAAACGTATAAACAACGTTAATATTTAAATGTAAAATATCTAAAATACCCATCTTTTTTCTCCACTCTCTTCATTTCTCTCAAGCTGTTTGATGATGCTCCCTTACACCAGTTGACCATCCTCAATGGAGTGTCAATTGTGCTCCCCGATCTGGGCGGATTTGGTGTTCCCAGGTTAGATTTTGCCGTAAGGTGATCGGTTGGAGATAATTTTTTTTTAATAAGAGAGAAAAAATTTTTAAAATAAAAATTTATAATTTATATAATATTAATTTTTAAAATTAATAAAAATAAAAATATATTAAAAATATTATCACGTCATTAAAATAATTAAAATATTGACGGTTAACTAATTGCAAGACTTATGTGTCTAAGAAAATATTTTTTTTGAGTAGACTATCCATTTTGAATACTAATAGATCTACGTGTAATTATGGTAAAAAAAGTTAGAAAGTCAGTGTATTTTATCCTATTTACTTTTATTACTTTGATTAATGGTTAACTTAATCAAATTATCACTTATTATTTTGTATCACATAACGTTGACGCGATATTGAAATAATATATTAACTTGTTATAATAGATAATAATGTAACATATTAATGTGATATGATGACATAACTATATTGTATTTTTCTCTCTTTGCATCAACGCAACGTTAGCATCACGTAGCTATAAAATAACAAAGAAATATTTTGATTAATGACAATTAATCAATTATTAGTTATAAAAGCATATTTAACTGAAAATAAAAGTATAGTAACTTAATTGAATATAATAAAAGAATAAAAATTTATTTAAATTTTTTTAATAATTGAAATTTTTTTTAACATTATGCCAATATTTTAATATTTATATAATCAACAAAATTTGACAAAATTACCATAAAAGAGATGAAAATAACTGCAACCAATTTCTCCAATCTCTTTAATTATTATTTCTTTTCACTTTCCTCTCACTATGAGGAAAATAGCAAAAATAGATCAACTCACACGTTGAATATTGGACTAGTAATTATTAGCTTTAAAATATTATCAACAGTAATTCGCCCAAAGAAAGGCATAGAGTAAACACATTTATTTACGCAAGAACCATAGAAAACAATTATCATCTAATTAGATGTTCCATGTGTGAGTAAAGCATGTGTTAATAGATTATAACAAAAGAAATTATAATTTTTAATTTGTTGCAACAAGATAATGTTAATTTCGGCGCCGGATGGAGACCAAATGCCTCAAGTGATGCCATGCTAATATGTTAATAAGAATAGGCCATTAACGCTTGATTGCTTAGAAAAATATTTAATTAAATATAAAATATTTCAATCCTAAGTCGACCATATAACTGATTGCGAGTGCCAACTGCTTAGAATATGGTCCCTTTTTTGCCAACTTTTCTTACCACGTAACCTCAAATTTAAAAAATAAAAAATAAAAATAAAAGCTGATTGCAGTAAGGTGACGTTTGGTATAAGGAAAGTGAGAGCACATTCCCTACAATATATCTAATTAAATTACATTACAGTGTTTGTTTTGTAACAAACCACTGCAATGTAAGATTGCAATGCAATCACATTACAGCCAAGGAATGTAATGTAATTGCAATCCAAAATCAATGCAATCACATTACATTGCACTTTGCAATGTTCTTAAAGTTAATTTTACCCTTCAACGTTATTGCTTTATTACAAATTTATTATATTGTTATAATTAAAATAAAAAACATTAAAATACAAATATATAATATAAGAATCAAAAATATAAAAAAATTAAAATTATATAATAAGTAAAATAAATTAAAATAAAATATATAATATAAAAAATATATTAAAGAAATAAAAATAAAATATATAAGATTATAATAATAAATGAAAATAAAATATATTATACTAAAAATATATTTAAGAGATAATATTATATAAAAATTAATAATAAAAATATAAATATATTAAAAATAAAATATATAAAATTATAATAATAAATGAAAATAAAATATATGATATTAAAAATATATTTAAGAGATGATTAATAATAAAAATATAAATATATTAAACTTGTATTTTAATAACTATAGGTAATTTTAAAAATTAATATTATATTTTTAATAAAATATTTGTAAACCAAACGTTACAATGTTATTTTTTTTGTATTTTAATCATTATTTTACTTATATACCAAACAATATAATGTTATTTTTCTTGCAATCACATTGTTTATAATTACATTACTTGCAATCATATTATATTGTAAAGTACTAAACGCCTAATAATGAGCATGATTTAAGTGACCTATGTTAAAGATTAAAATCCTAATCACTCTGTAAAATTTTAATTAATAAATATATGTATCATGTGATTTACTTATTAAAAATATTAATTTTATCTTAAAATTATACATAAAATTATACATAAAAAAGAAAATGTTATACATAAAATCCAATCAATTAATTTTTATGAGACTTTTCTTTTTATGATGGATATTAGATTTAACTATTCAAATTAAGGTCTAGATGCTTTAGAAATCTAAATACCAAGCTTAAGGAGGCTACTATATGTGCTTGTAACAAAGGTAAGTTTAACGCGACAAAAGGGCAAATATTCCCACATGATTATATGCTTTATGAAATAGAAATAGTCGATTTGATGGATTCATTATTTGGGAACTTCGACCTTGACGGCCGACACGTTCTTGGTCGTTTCGATGGACTCAGAGCGGTCCCCTCGTCCTGATTGGCTCCCGATACAGGACTTTTTGTCCTTTCAATAATAGTGTGGATTGACCTCGCCACGTTGTGTCACACTTTAAACTTGTTATATATTGAATTAAAATTCATAATATTAACTATCAAATATTATATTTAAAATAAAAAAATAATTACTATAATATAATATCTTAACCAATCAAGAGCACTCATGACCATAACAAACCTTTTATTTTAAATTGAAATTCATAAAAAAGGGGTCAATTTCTTACCCACCTCTTTGGACTCAAATTAAATAAATTGTTGGCTTGATTAAGCTTACATCACTATTCACGTATATGGTTTTCCTTTCGGTCCCCCATTTATATGTACTACCCAAAAGTATAGTACTATTAATTTGTGCTTTCCTGAGCTTGATTTGAGAGCAATCTGATTAATATCCAAGTTAAGTTCATTGCCAATGATTTTGTATTTATATATATATATTAAGCAAAGTTTTGCATTAGGGGGCTAATCACCCAAAAGTGGTGGACAATTCTCTCGTTATTATTTTTAATATGAGATGACTTATAGCCATGTGAACCTTATCAACGAGAATCATATATTACCTGTTATGACAGAGAATTCAGGTACAAGACAATCAAAGCAGCCAGCTGCAATTGAAAACAACGTAGGCCCAATGATTTTCTACTTATCAAGTGACCAAAAAGTAAACAAAAACAAACAAAAAAAATTATAATAAATTCTTAAATTATTTTTAAAAAATAAATTTATATTTTTTTATTCTCTTTAATTAAATTTTTATATTTTTATTTTGAATCAAATAAATTTTTATAATTAATGATTAAATAACTGTTATTAACCAAAATATCATTTTATATCGCATGACATAGCGACATATTATAATAAATAATAATGTAGTCATATAATATTTTATACAATTTATATCAACATCAAGTCAATACTATATTAATATAAAATAATAAATAATATTTTAAATAATAATATACAGTCAACCATTTATTATAAAAGTTTATTTAATTCAAAATAAAAAATAAAAATTTGATTAAATATAATAAAAAAAGATTTTATTTAAATTTTTTTAAATAATTTATAGAATTCTCAAGCATTATGTAAAAAAAAACACACTGATGTCCGAGTTCAAAAAAAAATATTTTATTTTAAGATAAATTTTATCAACACATAAAGGATCTGTTTTTAAGATTTGTTTAAAAAATTAAAAATCTATAGTATTTAAAATTTTTAAAATGTGAGTGACAATGGAAAACATTTTTTACCGAAGAATTCAATTAATAAAAAATATTTTTGATAATTTATTTAAAAAAATTAAAAAATTTTAAAAAATGTTTTACATAAAATAATTTTTTTTAATAAATTATTTTTGGGTACCAAACATTCCCCAAGATCCATGCTGAGACAAAAACACACATGAAGATCCATTGAAAAGGCCCATTAGGAAAACTTTTACATCAAAGTAAAGCCCCATTATTTCATTTGGAAAGGCTGAAATGCAACCATATAGGTCTTACTAGGAAACTTTCTGATGGGCCCAGAAAAAACTCTTCCTGCCCAATCTCACCGCGCCAAGCTGAAGCCATCCAAACTCTGCTTTAAAAAAGGAAAAAGGAGCAGACTCCCAAAGCAAGCAGAAGGGAAAATGGCGATGGCGGCATCCAGGGGAGAGCTAGTTTACAAAATCTACAGAGCATTGACCTACGGTCTATCACCGTTGCTGCACCTTCACTTACACTGGCGCAAGTTCCGCGGGCTGGAACACCCTCTCAGGTGGCCCGAACGCTTGGGCCGCCCTTCCCTCCCCCGCCCCCCCGGCCTGCTACTCTGGTTCCACGCTGTCTCTTTAGGGGAAGGAATGGCCGCGATTCCTGTCATCAAATGTTGCAGTCAACGTAGGCCAGATGTCAACATTTTGATGACAACGACGACGTTTTCTGCTTTGTAAGACATTCCTGACTCTTATTTCTGTTTTTCTTGTAGAACATTAATTTGGTTAGGGCTGCGGGACTTGCCACGTGTTCAGTCAGTTGAGTATGTACTATTTAATTGATCTTACAGCAAACATTGTATTGTAACGTTCTCTTTGCAGTGAAGTACTGAAAAATAGACTTCCAGCTAATGTTATATATCAGGTTAGTTCTCTAGCATGTACTAACTAATGTTGATTAACATAGAAGATTGATGCATGCAGTCATGTTACTTCTATTACAATTAAATATAGATATGATAATGAGTTGTGGCATTTTCAATTATGTAGTAAAGCTTTCTAACTTTTTAACAGTTTGCTCCAATTGATACTCCTTCTGCCATGGATGCTTTCCTTGGGTATTGGAAGCCAAATGGAATTGTAATAATGGAGAGTGAATTATGGCCGAATCTTGTTGTGGGTGCTTCCAAATGCGGAGTAAGTTGTTTACTACTACTTGGTGATATGTGTATATATGTATGTACTACTTTTTTCTGGAAACCCGTTTGAGGCAAAAGAAACTAAGTCATCAGTTTGTTAACCTATTGATGTGAAACAATTTAGTTTCTAATTACTATATGATTGCTGAATGATCTCAGAGACAGGTTGAATTTTGGACAAACGTTTAATCTAATACAGTTTGTCTAATTTTCTATTATATGACATTCTTCATGTGTGTTTTATGGTATTTTATTATGTTTCAGATGTTTTATTACTGTATAACCGATGTGTTTTCTTTCCGTTTTTTCAGATTGGTTTGGCTCTATTAAATGCTCGGTTGTCTGCAAAATCCTTTAGAAATTGGTCCAGACCTGTGCTTTTTCCACTAATATCACTTTTATTGTCCAAATTTTCCTTGATTGTCCCATTGGTATGTAATCCAATATTTTTGTATGCCTAATTCTATCTTCCTTTGTCATGTCACTTATCAAAGCAAAGCAAGTGTTCTTCTATGGTTGTTATTAGGGCTTTTTTTTTACTTTAGCGTTTTTATTGTTGCATGCCACAGAGCTCTGTCCAGGCAATTCATTTTCAGCTACTGCAGGCCACACCCTTTAGCATAAACTTTTCTGGTGATCTAAAATATGGTATGCTGCTTAAATTTTGCTAGGAATATCCCTTCTTAATGTTATGCAATTCTGCTCTTATACTGAACCTCAAAATTGTATTATAGACTAAATTTTTGTACAGTGTTAAATTGTCAATTTTTTTTGGATGAAGTACTGTAATTTATTTATAATTAGTACATGAAAAGAATAATTTCAAAGTGACTGCAATACCTTCCTTCACTCAGTTCTTACTTTCTAAATTCCTTGTATAAATATCCCTCAACTTTCTCTAGATAATATATCTTCATAACTTTTTAAGGTATTATTATGGTCCATCCTAATATGCTACGATGCTTTGTATTAAGCGGTGGATGAATATGAACCTCTTGTGAAAGATGTCGGATGCATAAAAGATCTGCAGAAACAGCTTTCTCAAAAACGAGTTTGGATGGCTGCTTCAATTCACCGAGGTGAAGAAGGAAGTCAGTTCTTACTACTTAGCAACTCTACTTGTGATTACCTTGTTCTACTTTGGTTGTCATTTGCAATATGCAAGACCTTAAATATATGATATGATGTGATAATTTTATATTGATATAGTTGTTTTGAAAGTTAGCATGCCTTAGTAAGTTTATGGGTGATTATCATATGAAACAGCTATGGTGCTATAACCAAGATAAAAGTGGTTTTTGTCTGATCATTCTGTGGTGGGTGCCTTTTTCCGGCAATGGCCTTCATTGAATTTCACAATTCCTCCGTGTAACATGTTACTTTCATATCTACTGTTGTAATCATGGCTTCTGCAGTTAATTAGTTTAGTGCATCCAGTTGGACAGTTTAATTTTTAGGCATCATGGTCATTTTCCATTTAGTTAATGTTTTTCTGGTGATAATGGGTTCATTCGTGGACATTTATTGACTTAAAAATCCCAGGATCATTTCAGTTTTCTTCCCAAGTATCTAGAGTGAAAATCTACATGCAGTGAGTTATGCTTTTCTTGGACAAAGCACTAACAGACATTTGCTGCAGTAATGTTAGGAGTTCACAAGGGTCTCATGCAAACTTACCCTGACCTTGTCACCATTGTTGTGCCTCGACATCCGCAACATGGAAAAGAGATTGCTGAAGTATGATACTGCTGCACACAAGTGTTATTTTTCATGAAATACAATATCTTTTTAGTCAATTTACAACGTGGTTGAAATTTCAGTCTCTTTACCTTTATGCCCCTCACTTCCTCTCACTTTTAAATTATCAACACTATTTTGTAACTCATAGTACTTGGTTTTGGAATAAGACATTGATGGTTCAGAAATAGAAAGTATTCCCCTTTTATCTGGTGATAACTGCTGTTTACAATTTCCTAGGGGAATTAGTTACCCTGTAAGCACTGTGGTGTGAAGTTTTTGGACCCTTAGTTAATTTATTAGCAATACAGTTTGTTTCCTCTTCATTGCAGTCATACTCTTAAGGATAATGAAATTCATTTATCATCTTCAACATGCTTTTTCACATCATGCCCTTTCATTAGGGTGTTGTTAAAGTTAATTTCTTTCCACTAAAAAAATGTCTGTATAAATCATTAATCATGAACTGATTATTTAATTAATTTAGGAATTAGCTGCCCCTGAATGAGCAAGAATGTTTTTAGTGCATGGCTTCATGAATATGTACCGGCTACATTTACATTTTCTTAAATTTTTAGGAAACCTCGCTTTCAATGATGCAGGAATTGCAGAAAGGAGGGCAAACTGTAGCTTTGAGGTCTAGACATGAAAAACTTATTCCCGGAACAAGCATATATGTGGTGGATACACTTGGTATACAGCATCTTCTTCCTTTTCACTTTTCCTCAATTTTTCTCTATTTTAATTTTAGTTGAAATTCCACCTTTCAAAAAATATATATAGTTGAAATTCCAATTGGATTTTACCATGAGCTTGTGTTGGTATTTAGTTAATCCTATAAATATTACTCCAACTTTTCCAGACTTTGATTTGGGTTGTTTATTGTTTAACTTCTACTGAGATGCTAGGTGATAAACAATGAATGGTGTATGCAATCTGGGCTTAGGGGTAACAAGATAAAAAAGAACATATAAGAAATGAGAACATCTATGTAGAACTAACTGAGCTTAAGATGAGAGGAAGTTAATAAGCACGGTCGTCACATCCAATTGGGCAATGCACTAATATGTTGGCTTGAAACAGCTTTGATCTGAATTCAACCTTTTTATTGGAGGTAGTTTTAATTTAAATTTGCATCTAATCAACTTGAATAGTTTGGGAATACTTCGGACTTGCGAAAACATTCAGAAATAGTTTTAAAATAAAACCAAGAAGGCATAATTGGGCTTGTCAGATGAGGTTTATCATGATATATCTAAAATGGATAGGATTGTATGATGTCAAGCCTATTGGATTGCCTGGCAGATACTAGCCTCTTTTGCTGCCAGCATAACTTTTCCACTTTCCAGTTTTTAGAGGTTGAGTTGCATTACAAGGAGTACAAATGTAAATTGTTCTGAATTTGTTGATATTTTTGGACTCAAAAGCCTCACCTCCATTGTAATTCTTATGCAAGTAAAATAACTTTGAATTATTTATCTTGCCATGGCAAAACTTGATTTATAATGATACTATATTGTATTTAATCCGTGTTGCAGGTGAATTGAGGCAGTTGTATAAGTTGACCCCAATAGCTGTAATCGGAGGTTCTTTCTTCCCTGGTTTAGGTGGTCATAACATATCAGAAGCAGCTGCAGCTGGCTGTGCTGTTTTGACTGGTGAAAATTTGCATCTTGCACCTTATTTGTTTCATCTGCTCCTTAACATACTGTTTTCAAGGGTTTTATTTTGTGATATTTTCAGGTCATCATGTTGGCCATTTCTCACATATGGTGATAGAAATGCAGCAGTTAAATCCTTTGTCAGTAATGCAGGTATCTTTGCAAGTTAAATACATTTGTTTGGAGGAATCTCTTATTGGGACTGTTTCTGGATTGATTCTGCAAAGTTGATAACATCTGTTGCACCAATGTGATAAACAATTATTGTACTTGAAGCATTTAGTATATATAAAAGTAATAGGTGTTTATGTGTTTGCGGTTGTGCTTGATTATTCTTTATTTTAATAATGAACATTGGCAAATGGGGCATTCAAACTCAGGACCTCCTTTTAGGAGGATTGGTGTGGTTATTACCGAGCTATTCCATAATCACTGCTTGATTCACGTTATATTAGTCCATGTAGTCCTAAATATTGTTCGTAAAGTATTAAGCTGATTTCTTTATATCTGCTAGTGTTGCAAGTACTGTTTTGGAGGTTATTCCATATGGATGTTTCTTGGTGAATGGTGTTAACACAACCTTGATTGGCAGATGATGCTCCTGGAATTTGCTTTCTCGTTAGAGTCATTTACCTTGAATCAGCTTAAATTGAACTGAATTCTTTTATGGATGATATTATATTTCTAGGTTTAAAATTGTTCAATTTGCTTGAAAATCTCAGTCAAATATTAATACCTTTTTAATTGGCAACATGTTTTCGTTAGGCCTTAGGTAAAATTTTCTGTTTCTGTTGTTGACATAGTAATGTTTATTTTTGTGGTCAAACATTGAAGGTTTCAGTATTGTTAATCTGCAGGTGTCAGGGAAATTAGATCTTGAAAAGGCTCTAGGGGAGCTCTTTAGTGATGCAAAGATTCTAGAATCACGACAGAAGGCTGCAAAAGAAGCTTTCAATGCTTTATCGAGTAGTGTCGTAGCCAATGCGTGGAATCTACTGAATTTCCATTTTTTAAGGCATGTATTCTCTTAGAATATAGACCGGCATACAATGAATATAAATATGAGAGTGAAGCCTGCACCAGAGCACCAGAGCACATCAAGCCATGAGATCAAGCCATGTTTCAGGTGCTCTAGCACCAGAGCACATTAAGCCATGTGATCCCATTTTGTGAGTCCTATATTACCATTTGCTTTATCATGAGGTATATTGAATCTGGGAATCAAATTATTTTCCTAGAAAATATTGAAAAATAATTGCTTCTAGTGCAGAATTTATGTTGGATTGGCCTAGATACCTCTAAAATAAAAAAAAAATTTGTGCAAGGATGATTTCATACTTTATTCTTGATAGAATTTTTATTTTATAGTATTCTCTCAACAGTGTATTATTGAGGTTTTTTTCTTTTTTTGAAAAAAATCTCCATGCATATCTATATTAAATCTAAAATGAAACTGTAGAGGCATTTTTTTTTTGTTTCTTTGCTGTTTCTTCTTTCTTTGTTATCCTTTTTCCGCTTTGTGCAACTCTGTGTATGCTTGTACTTGAGGGTTGTTCCCAACATTTAGATGAATAAAACATACATGCATGAAGTTCGACTAGCAAATATTTGTTTTGTCATAAATAGCTCAATAACCAATATTTATAAATTCTGCAGTAATAATACAACTCTATCTGCATCTTTAATTCAACAGAAAGAAATGATGATGACCTTCAGAGAAATTTGATAACCGCTTCAACTGTTACACCCAATCTTTGCTGCTGTTTCCATCACTCCTGCATATCTTTCTTCAGTGGAACCACAAACTAGTGGACTGATGTCCTACATGAGCTTATACTGAGGTCTTCATTGTTAACATGCTAAGTTAATTGACAGACATCTGACCCACCATTGAACGAATGAATAATATCTCTGAAGAGACACTCATCGCAAGGTATAGCCAAGGGACCATCTTTATTGGGACCATAATCTTCATATGTTTTATCTAGCAGCTGACGAAAAGCTGGTTGGTTCAAGTAATCTGCTTTTATGACGAATCTCCTGCCAGCATCCCCAACAGTAACAGCCAAGTGACCAGGGGGGACATCACTGGGAAGTTTCCTCCCTCTGGTCCCAGCAAGTTTGCACCGCATAAAGGACATCCATTTGAGTTTCATAATGTTGCAGACATCACTCTTGGAATAATCTGTTGGAGGAGCCATGGAATGAGGTTCAGTTTTTCTTGTCGAAATTCGGGTATCTTTATATACATCCAATCCACAGATCCTCTGCAGCATATACTTACATGTAACCTGCAAAACAGCACAAAAATCTGTCATTCTTTTAGGAATTTGCTGAAGGCATGGCTTGATGTTTCAATGATATATTATAATAACACTTGAATTGTGGATAATTTATACAGTAGAGATTGTGTTGCCTAGCCATTTGGGTAGTAAATATTAGGTCGTAAGGTCCTTCTGTTATGCTAGGCCTTTATGGAATACTGTAATTGATGTAATCAATAGCTGCCTAAGCACTCATCTTTGTCCCATTATTAGTTGCATGCATTTATTGCAAAGCAACTAGGTGTATATGGCTGCCAAATTTTGGGAGAATGGCAGTTTACTTGCACCTAGATAAAAAAATGTTAGGTTTGCAACTCAAAGGAATGTAATGCATGGTAATGGTAGTGGTTAATCATAATGAAAAAAAATAACCTGATTAGCTTTTGTGGTTAGGACAAGGCCCTAGTGCCATGTGTCTTAATGTGTTTGCTAAAGCTGGATATGAGTGACTGTTGGCAGATTGCTGTTCAGAATGAATTAATCGTCAGCTATTGAAAAATGGGAAAAAGAAAAAACTGTTCTCTCTTTGGCTAGAATGATGGATCTGGTTAATACCACTCGAGTGAAATCCTTTTATGTATTGTTTGACCCTTTTTTGATGGAAACAGTAATGTTTTGCTTCACTTTGCAGGTAGGTAGATTGATTGATCTTGGTCGGTGTCAGTGGCTCTTGTGATTATGAAGATAGCCCCTACTGTGACAAGGTGCTGTGTGAAGTTGTGATATTGATATTAAAAAAGCTTGCCGGACCTGATCCTTTAGATTATTTAAGTATATTCGCGATGAATAAGCTGATGGGTTTTCAGGTGCCACAGTCAAAATGTGTGAATGGTGCAAGCATGGAGTGACTTCCTGAGACATATCAGCTTCTGCTATGGTTCATGTCCATACATCTGTTGGGAGATCAACACGTGAGTCATTATATTTTCTTCATTGCATTGTTTTTGATTCCTACGGCTACCAATTCAGCTCAAGGACCATTAACAGATAACCGCCCTGAAAGCTGCCAAAGAGAAACCAGAAAACACTTGAAATTGCATCTCACATATGCCTATACTTGAAGTGCATCTCCATGTGCACATTAGATCACTTGATCAAGTGAGCAGAAATGATTGTGGCATTAGGTCTGTCATTTAAAGCATAAAATACTTATATACATACATATACATATATATGTAACCCAGTGACCACAGTAAACAGATGTAGCATGACACTCAACATTGGATATTGTTCAAATTATATTGGATGATGTGAGGTTCTTTAAATCCATTTTGCATTTCATGTTAATATTCTTATTTTATTATCAGATTAAATCTCTGATATACCTTTTCGCAATAGAATACAAAAATGACATGATGAGGGTTTTCTATATATAGGTGTACACATTTACTTATGTTTTAGTTAAATCCACTATCTACAATAAAACAAGCAATGTCAAAAGTGTTGTTAACATCTTTATTGTGAAACAGAAGTTAGGCTACATTTACCTGCAATGCTTCTGTAATGTCTTCTTTACTTTATGCTAGAACATGGAATTGTAGTCTGTTTGAAGGGAAGGTGTTTCTTCTACTTTACATGTCTGTGTCTGTCTGGACATTTGCTTGCCAATTATAAATAATGCAAATGGTGGCACCATTGCTTAGAAGAAATAATTTCAACTATTTCTGGGAAATAGATCTACCTTCCTTGTGTATGTAACAAACAAGAAGTCTTTCAGTATTTGTACATACGAAACATCATACATTCAGCGTATTTAGGAGAAATGCTAGAATTCAAAAAAATAAGTACTGGTAGTCAAAACAGTCCCACTGTAAGATATTAAATCTTTTCCTTTTAAAGCTTGTATTGTTTATGTACGGCACGACACCATTATTTCTGCCTCTCTATTTTCATATTTAGATCATTATTTCGGTCTCTCTATTTTCATTTTTAGATCAATTGGTATATACACGTATTTTGTACCAAAAAAAAAATGAGTGTTTTAGTACATCCATGTATTCAGTACCAAAGAAATATGACTGTATTAGTAGGAAATACATGATGGAAAATACATGATGTTGATTTGTATCTAGCACTAACGTGTTTGCATCTTTTACGTTGGGCACCTCCACCTCCCATTGATGAAAATTTAATGCTGGGCGACGGCATGAAAAAGGTGGTGAAGGTTTGCGTATACGTATAAGGTATGGATCAGATATTCCCTAATTTGTTTACTTTATTGAAAATTGCGATGTTTAAACCAACTTGGCTATTAGCAGGGAATCGTAATTCATAGAGATGAAAAAGAAATATCCTGTCATTGTTTGCTCTTCTTCCTTAACGTTCGTAACAGGGATCAAACATGGAAGAAGCCATATTATGGTGTTTTCTTCAGGAATGTTCACTTCATTATTTACTATTCCTTCGCATCTTATTCTGCGTTATTGGCGTAATCATCTTAACCCTTTTGTGGAAGATTTGCTTGAAATTTTCTCTTGGTTTATTAACTAGTAAACAAAAGAGTTTATGGGTGTAGCAAAACGTTTCAATGAAATAAAATAGTTATGAATTATCAAGACATAATTTCTTAAGGGTTAGAAAAATTAATAAGGTTTTATTATCTTTTATTACGTTTAATTAAATTCATATATTTTTATATTAAATAAAATAAGTTTTTATGATTAATTAGTTGACTAACTGTTATTAATCAAAATACTATTTGTTATTTTATATGTTAACATGTGATGATGAATGGTGACATGTAATATGATATTTCACTTTTCATGTTAATGAAATATATTAATATCATGTGAGAATAAAATAACAAATGATATTTTGATTAACGACAAGTAATCAATCATCAATTATAAAAATTTTTATTTATTTTAAAATAAAAATATAAGAGCTTGTTTCAAAAATTATGTTAATTACGAATAATAATTGAGAGCAAAAATAAAAATAAGAAATATAAGATTAGCATCCCAAACATATTTACAATCTAACAAATTAGAGACCAAGACATTACTCAAATCTTTGACATATACAAAGTAGATATCTTGTGAGGAAAAATGGGAAAACCACTGAGGCATGGCCTGCACTGACACCCACGATCACTGCCAGCCCTTATCTAGAGCAAAACCCCAGCTTCTGCTTTGGATTTATTTCAGCCCAGCCTGGGCCAGAAACATCCCAAGCGTGGTGGACTCTGGTTTCATTGTCCAATGACTCAGATGTGCAATCAAAGAATGAAGAGAAGGTAAAAAAAACACAGAAAAAGAAAGGAGACAATTTCATTGGTGTGGTACACTGACGACTGCTAACACTCTTTTTGCCCATGAGCTGACCTTAGAAGTTTGGTGTGAGTGGAGTGAAATGAAAGGAAATTCAGACGACAATCCCGCCTTCAATCTCTCTTTTCCTTTATGCATGTTTCGTTATACAAAGCAAGAATAAATAGTGGCTTGCAATTTGTAAAGATAAAATAAAAAGCTGAGGTGTTTCCCTGTCTTTTAACGACATCCTTGACTCTATTTGTGTACCCCAAAGGCCCCACCATGTGAACCTTTTGTTTTGCTTTTTTTTTCCAACAATTGTACAAAAAAATTTTCCAAATTAAAATTGCTTTTCACCATTATAAACAGCTCAGCAAGTCAGTAATGGAATGATCGCTGCTTTACTGATTTTGTAAATTTTGTTATGAATTTACCATGTGATTATGTTAAGGGCCAAAATTATGGGTTCCCTTTTACTGTTTCCATATAAGCTGGCTTATCGATTCATTCCGAAGTCCTTGCAAAGGCAGATTTGACATAGTTTTATCAGGGAATAAATTAGTAGTGACTTAACAGGGTTGAAAGTTTTATTAGACAAATCACCCCAGAAACAGCCTTTGCTGAAAAGGGTTTAGAATGGATGACCTCCTTTTGTGCTTTCCACGCATCAAAAGGAGCAATTTCTTTGCTTTATCAGTAGCTCCATCCAGTTCAGATAGGATTAAAGGCAGCCAAACGGACCACCTGGCTTCCGGGAGGAAATTACAGTATAGCTAGCTATTTGGTCCTGAACAGCAGATAATGGGACTCACTCACTCTCATATATGCTTGTGGAGACAGATGGATTTGGAAGTTGTACATAAAGGAGAAGCATCAAAGGTTGTTAGGAGAGAAGTTCAGTCATGTTTTTGCTTTTGTTTTATTGATTCTGCTCATCATCCAAGGGAGAAGGTCTTAGCAACTTTGCTTTCTTATGACTTAAAGTTGCGACCTTTTTCCTTATCAAGCTAATGAAAAGCAAGGGACCAGCAGACAAATCTATAAGCCCCCCCATCTCTCTCTCTCTCTTTTAAGAATAAACATCCAAAATTTGTGCAAAGAAAGAACCTATCATGCCCCCTAAATTCAAATATTGCTACAATATAGCTAGCTCCACATGAGGATCACAAGAGTAAACTGGAAACATGGATGATATCTATTTCACCTCTGCTACTAGCTAGTGGTCCATAATGCAAGTGGGGCTGTGAAGATTTAGGGGATTTTTGGATGCTTTTGTTTTGATTTTGAACCTCATCAAATATAAAGACAAGAAAATTCCTGCTGATCATGCATGGTAGTAGTATTTAATTTTTATGTTTAAACGAGTCGCAGATTTTGAACTTGTTTGAATATCATTAGTTTATACCTTTGGGCGGCCAATTTTGCATGTATTTTCCAGAGGTCAAACAAGAGATTAACTAAAATCATGAGCAAATTTTGTATGCATACTTTAGAAGACTAATTATTATTAATATTATTACTTTTACTTTTTCAGTCATGCGACCATAATAAGGTGGCAAAAGTTCCATCTGCTGAGACTGGGAGGGCACCGACACCATATAAAATCTTGGTATGAAAGATCTTCTGGCAATTAGAAAGGAGCGTAATGGGAAAACCAGAAGTGGAGATACAGGCCATATAAGCAAAGCAGGCGAGATAATCAAATGTTTTTTGGGTTTTTGACTGTGGAAATCTCTTACTGAAACAAATGCCATACATCTGTAAAGCAACAGAAGGGTTCTTAACATGGTCAGCAGCTCGGGAATTAATTGGTTATTCACGTAACATACAGCTGTGGTCAGCTCTCAGGCCTCAGCAGCTTTTTCCTTTCTTTTATGGTATAGGACATTCAGCATTCAGCAGCTTATTTCCCATGTAAAAAAGTACATATTTGATTGGTTTTTCTGACACTCAAATTCTGGAATTGGCAAAGCAGAAACATTCAGGGTGGGTGGAATATTTCCAGATCAGATATGTCATCATCTTCTTTTTCCATGGCTCAAAACGTGAACCACAATTCTAGCTTAATAACGGATTATTTGTCCCTAGGAATGGACGGATGGTAACTAGCAATACATTTCCTGATAGACAACGCGGCAAATACCAATCATTTGCGTAGCAAAAAGGTAATTCATGAGTTAAAACTTTCTAGCTAGCAAATTGAGAGTCAAAACTCAAAAGTAGATTGCCAAGGGTTTCGACTACTGTGAAACGTGAGCTGTTGTACCTCTCTTTTCTTTGACGGGCAATGAAACATGCCAAAAATCTTCCTGGTGTGCTAGTCTTTTTTAAGCATTCAAGAAACTTGAGACTTCAAAAAACAAAACCCACACCCTCAATACTTTGCAGACTGGGAAAAAACGAAAGAAAATTTTGAAATGTTATCCTATCATAATAAAAGAGCATGTCGTCATCAAGCTCATGCTTCATGATCTCCACTGTCATAGTTTTAGAATCCCAACCATGCAAGAATTACTGGCACCCAATTTAGCAATTGGTCATGGAAAAATGGTGTAGATAGCAAAAAAAGTGAAGCTTCTGAATTTGTAACCTTTTTACTCATTCTATTTCTAAGGAGTGGAGAACAGCAATCATTGACACAACCACCCTCCGACTCTAATGAGCATATTCTAATGTCACCTTTAATCATATGTCCCTCTTTCAAATAAAAAAGAAGAAAGAAAGAAAGAAAGAAAGAAAACAATAATAAACCCATCCCCACCCCCTCCTCCTTTAATCATTCCCTCAACATCCAAGAACCTCCCAAACTCTTCTCTCTTTCATAGAGAGACAAAACATGCACTAGAGGAGTAGTGGCAGCAGTATTTTTAAAAAACACTCTCTTCCCTTTGCTCTTCCCGCTCAAAAAACAAACCATGAACTTCCCTCATCAATGGTCCTTCTTCCTTCTCTCCACTCTTCTCCTTTATCTTCTTCCTCTTTCCTCCTCCTCTCCTTCTTCCCCAAACGACACGAGTGCCCTCACTCTCTTCCGGCTCCAAGCCGACACTCACGGCAACCTCCTCTCCAACTGGACCGGCCACGACGCCTGTTCCTCCAAGTGGAGTGGCGTCGTTTGCTCCTCAACTGGCCGCGTGACCGCCCTGTCGCTCCCTTCCCTCTCCCTCCGTGGTCCCATCACCTCCCTTTTCCTTCTCGACCAGCTCCGAATCCTCGACCTCCAAAATAACCGCTTGAACGGCAGTGTTTCACCGTTAACTAACTGTACCAACCTTAAACTCGTTTATCTTGCGGACAACGATTTTTCTGGTGAAATCCCCCCGCAAATCTCGCTGCTCAAACGACTACTCCGCCTGGACTTATCCAACAACAACATAGGCGGCCGCATTCCTAAAGAAATCTCCGGTTTGAACCGGCTCATTACTCTGCGGCTGCAAAACAATGCATTAACCGGCCAAATCCCAGATTTTTCTTCTTCCCTTAAAAACTTAAAAGAGCTTAATTTAACCTACAATGAGTTTTACGGGCGGTTACCGGAAAGTTTACTGAAAAAATTTACTGAACAAAGCTTTACAGGAAATGAAGGGCTCTGTGGGCCAAGTCCGTTGCCGGTTTGTTCCTTTACAGGGTCTCCACCGGTGGATGCATCGGCCCAGACAGTTCCATCGAACCCGAGCTCAATGCCGCAGACACCAATCATCGGACAAGACAAAGCTAAGGCACGAAAAGGGTTAAGCCCTGGTGCTATAGTTGCAATTGTAGTAGCAAATTGTGTGGTGTTTTTGGTGGTGGCTTCTTTTGTTGTGGCTTACTACTGTGGAAGAAACAGGGGAGAGAGAGTTTCGAAAGCCGGTAGCGAGAGCGAGAAAAGGAGGAGTGGAAGTAGTTATGGAAGTGAAAAGAAAGTTTATGCAAGTGGCGGAGCGGACAGTGATGGAACAAACGCAACGGATAGGAGTAAGCTGGTGTTTTTTGAGAGAAGGAAGCAGTTTGAGTTGGAAGATTTGTTGAGAGCTTCGGCGGAAATGCTTGGAAAAGGGAGCTTGGGAACAGTTTATAAAGCAGTGCTTGATGATGGGTGTACTGTAGCTGTTAAGAGACTTAAGGATGCGAATCCTTGTCCAAGGAAGGAGTTTGAACAGTATATGGATGTTGTTGGGAAGGTTAAGCATCCGAATGTTGTGAAACTGAGAGCTTATTATTATGCTAAAGAGGAGAAGCTTCTTGTTTATGAGTATCTTCCAAATGGCAGCCTGCATTCGCTTCTTCATGGTAGGTTATTAGTGAAGGAAACATTTTCCTTCCATGCACTGAGAACAGATGAACCACATGGTTTATGTGTTTCAGGATACTCATGAACCAAAATTCTCTGTATATGTCAATATTTGTTGATTTTGGTGTGTAATTCTTTTCTTTTTATGGTTGGAAAATAGGGAACAGAGGACCAGGGAGGATTCCACTGGATTGGACTACGAGAATCAGCTTGGTGTTAGGGGCAGCTCGAGGGTTAGCAAATATTCATGAAGCGTATAGTGCACCAAAGATACCACATGGAAACGTGAAATCTTCGAATGTGCTTCTTGACAAAAATGGGGTTGCGTTGATTTCTGATTTCGGGTTGTCTCTGCTTTTAAACCCTGTCCATGCTATAGCAAGATTGGGTGGATACAGGGCTCCTGAGCAAGCTGAAGTCAAGAGACTTTCCCAAAAGGCTGATGTTTACAGTTTTGGAGTCTTGCTGTTGGAAGTGCTTACAGGGAGAGCTCCATCACAGTATCCTTCACCAACGCGTCCTCGAGTCGAGGAAGAAGAACAGGCAGTGGATCTTCCGAAATGGGTTCGATCAGTTGTCAAGGAAGAGTGGACAGCGGAAGTGTTTGATCAAGAACCTTTTGAGGTACAAAAACATTGAGGAGGAACTTGTCTCGATGCTCCATGTAGGGTTGGCCTGTGTGGTTCCGCAGCCTGAAAAGAGGCCTACAATGGCAGAAGTAGCTAAAATGATTGAGGATATCCGGGTGGAGCAGTCTCCTTTAGGGGAGGATTATGATGAATCACGCAATTCGCTTTCCCCTTCCCTCGCTACCACTGAAGATGGACTGGCTGGTTACTGATCTTTTCATTGCCAATAATTTGCCAGTGGTAAATTAATTAGGTAATGGACGCTTTATCGTCTTCTTCTCTCTTTGATCTGCATGATCTCGCTGCAAATTGTCACACTTTGTGGCTCTGTCTTAGATCCTGGTTTGCCATGTGTTTCTTTGTAATATTTGTAAGCCTTATGTCTCTCGTTGTTGCTGGTAAGAAGATCACGGATGATCTTCACACTAGGCAACCAAGATAGTTTTATTTAGACTACAGTTCTGTAATGTAATTTTGACATTTTGAATTAGTTTATTAATTATTTCCAAGGCCAACTCAATCTTGAGAGTGTTAATGCTTGCCGCTCTGTTTGCATCCAATAGCCTATTACAGTTTGCAAGAAAGCTATGAAGTGGTAATGTAAATGCATATAAAAGGCTTCCTCAACTGTGAAATAGAGTAAGATTCCTCCCAATTCAGCTACTCCTGGCTGCATTACGCCATAATCATCCTGTCTTGTCTCAATAGCCAAGTCATAATCTGCATGCCCATGTTTAAGTATCATTGACGTTGGTCAAATTAAGAATGGCACTCGGATTGTCGTAGGGTTAAAACCACTTACTAGAATTAGGCTTTTTGTTCACCATGAAATGCCCGCCAGAGGGCAGAATTTGTTTCTTACAAGAATCGTTGACTATTTATCCATAATTTCCACCATTAACAGTTTTCATTTGCACCTCAAAGCCAGCCAACCAACAAAGAACTGTGGGATTGTCAAGCACACAACGCACCATTCCATGTACTGCTAAAGCCGTGTCATCTGTTTTTCCATCTTAATTACTCATTATCATCTTATTGTCCCCAATGCGGCAACATAGTAGGCAACAGCAATGGCAAATGAATCTATCAATCCGTTGATTTCTAAATCCCAACGCTTTTCAAAGTAGACAGTTTTGAATCCCAATATTCTTGGGTTTGGGGGGCATTGGATTCTCATCAATGTTTGCCTTCTCGCTGCAAGCTGATTCTCCTACATAATCCAAAAGGCAATATCAATCTCCACCATCTATCATAATTCACACCAAATTCCACCACTTGAAACTTGTTGATAAGAACACATGCCCCATCAATGGTTCCATTCCCTTCTGTTGGCTGATTGAAACCATTCCTGTTAGTACATAAAGAACTAACGCAAATGATATCTCATGAGCTTTGATTAGTATTGTCATGCACACAGTTTAGAATACACTGAAAATGTAAGCATTGCAGTATATAAATTCCGCATTCCTTGTATACACATAAATGCTTCAAAAGTACAGCTCAGATAGATGTTTTCATGGTTCTCACCCTTCTATTAATTGCAATCTCAAGACAAACAATGGTACAAATTGTATGCAATTTGAGAGAACCTAAAATTTGCAAATAATAAAGTTCCTGGTAAATGTTGCCATTAATAAGTTTCAGCTTGTGACAACTTACCACTTCTAATCCTAATCTAAGAGTATCACTTGTATTCTTGTAAATCACTAATCGTACATTGCAGCAACTATCTCCCACATCTGATGCTTTCAATAAGTTGATACAATTTCTAATACTTTTAAATAAAATGGATATTGGTACCATAAGAGAATACAAATTGTCAATGAAGAAATTAGCTGTGAGAATAATTAGTTATTGGCATCGCAGGTTAAAACCTGGCCTCCAAATGTTACAGCAGCAGCATCTTCAAATCAAGAATCCACCCACACCTCAGTTGTAGAAACACGGCAGCAGGATTTTTACATGAACACTTGTTGTTACTAAATTATATTAACAGTAATCTGACTCAATATCCATGGTCACAACTAAATATGCATCTGACAAGTGGTTCTAGATCAGCTTATCCTTCCAGTTTGATCAATCAGTGTACCAACTTGGTCTCCACATAATGCTTTTGAGATGTTTCCAGGCTGAAGAAGATTAAAGACCACAACTGTACCAAAGTAAATTGATTTAATTGGTATGCTATCAATCCTATGGTACTTAATATCAACAGGTTAACTCATATTCAGAAACTTGTATTGGCAGCAATAGATAAAAATTTCAGAACAAGGGATACAAACTTGAAGCACAAGATTAAACAGTTGGACCAGCAATGTTTTGAAAGTGACAGAACTAATCCTCGGTAGCTTATGTCTTTATCAATACTATAAATCAAGGCAACAAGAATACCAACCAGGAATGCCATTCTCTTCACAGAAGGTTAACGCCATCATGTCCATGGCTGTAGCACCTCTAGAGACTAACTCTCTAAAGGAGATGTGCTCAAATGTAGCATTGTTGTCCTGGGAGTGGCAGTCATAAACACCATCAACATTCGTCCCTTTAAGAACTGCCTCAGCATGAACTGAACAGAAAAGCAAACCTGTTAAAGCCAGAGAACCTGGAAAACACAAAGGTGCCTATATGTGCAAGTTTTCTGTGTCACTGATGGAAGGTGGACGAGAAAGAGAGAGTGACGTATAGTTCAAAATATTTAATTGTTAAAGAACAGAAGAGACAGAATCGTACTTTCTGAAGCTCGAAGTGCTGCAGCTGTGTCAGTAGAAAAGAGCGGATTCCCAGTGCCAGCACCAATGCCACCAAATATTACAACTCTACCTTTTTCAAGATGACGGATGGCCCGTTGCCGACTGTATGGTTCTGCAACCTCTTGCACTGAAAATGCAGTTTGCACACGGGTCTGAACACCCATTTTCTCCAATGATGATTGCAGCAATATAGAATTCATCACAGATGCCATCATGCTGCAGTAGATTGAAGGGTCATGGTTTGATTAGTTTCATACTGAAATGAATATGTAAGTGCATAAACATATTTATTAGGCAGCATCACAATGAACATATTGGACTTGAATGAACTAATTCCACTACAGATTCATCTAGAAGATATTCATGAGATAACTTTCTTCATATAAAAAACCATTTTTTATCAATCTTGCGGTTGTCGATTATTCAATACTCCTTGTGCTGGTAAAGATCCAATCCTCACCCTTTTTCAACACTGTATCCATGTCATCCTTTCAACATCAGGTACCACTTTGTATTCCTTGGGATAGCTGCCTATATGGGAATAGCAGATAACTTTCTGCTGGAAACCCAATCCTAACTGTTTACTACATATTTAATATCAATAAATAAGAATAATAAGATGTTACCATGGTCAGCCCATGAAGAATGAAAGTCAGCTAAACAGATTTGTTAGCTAAGATCATTTCTTGTTACCCACTCCATCATTTTAGTTTCGTTTAGTTGGATATAACAAGAAACAGCATTACAGGCATCAAGGCATACATATACCACTCAATTTGAGTTATTTCCAGAAACAACTGAAAAGTATTTCTGCATAGTTATACACCTAGAACTATCACAGGGAGTTGTGCCAATTTACAATACAAAAGACAGCTATAAATTAGCAAGCTTCGTCTTACAAGCCTCACTCTGGGTTTAAGCTTAAGCATTACTCTCTTTTTCATTTTTTTTCAAAATTATCCCAAAGTTGGCATGCAGATCAAAGAGAGTATACTCCATTGTGAGTTAAGCAGTGACCATATTACCCAATTTGATATGCAGTACTTCTATCTAAACCAGTTGCTGAAACCCATGTGTCTCCGCAAAAGAAATTGCGACCTCCAACAACTATTGCTACCTGGAGAAAAATAATAAATAATAAAAAACAAAAAACCATTGCATGTCAAAAGGATGCAAATATCCCCAATTGTAAGAGATAAAAAGCAGTAATGACTACCTCTACACCAAGGCGACATGCAATTGCAACTTCCCTAGCAATCAGCATTGCCACCTGATAATCAGAAAGAAACAACTAATTAAAGAATTCACTATTGATAATAATAGCATCATAGTTACTGACTAGATAAGAAACTCATAGTAAACCTTAGGGTCAATATTGTGAGGACCAGTGCAAGCAAGAGCAGCCCCACTAATTTTAAATACCACTCTTCGCCATTTAGGACTTTTGGACTTCATGCTAATTATCTGACCTGCAGAACTTGGCGTAGCTGAAGCATATCTGCTGTAAAAATATAAATTAGGATACACACAACCATGAATGTATTTCTATTAGTATTATAAAGAAGAATAAATATACAAAATAGTCCATACAATTCACACCAACATGATACGTGCTAACAAACTAGGACATCGATATTTTTATTACAAGCTGTAGTCAATAATATTAACAGATAAAACTCTTCAAATACAAAATAGTACAAAACAACCGGCAAATGTTATTATCCACAAGTGCTTCTAGCATCCTTCTCAAATTTGAGTATTAGACAAAATTAACAACTAACAAACTCGAGAACAGAAGAGTGAAAATAAGGAAGCTTTGCTCACATTTTTCCTGCTAAAATTTTATTCTGATGATGATGATTTTATGCTAACATGCCATCCTTTTAATTTATTCCCTGGTGACATCATATAAAAGCTCACAATGACAACAACCTAATGAAGAAACTTAGAGAATTCGAGTGCAATATTATCAAATATAAAAATAATCTCAATAATAAACGGAAATATTTATATTATCTGCTGATATAACGAAATATACCTTTTGGATTGTCTAACGGCAGTTCCTGGAGAAGCTCCGGCCTTATCTTCATCAGGCGCCGCCTTGACGGGCAGCGAATTCCCAACAATCTCCTCCATTTTCTTAAACCAAGGCCAATGGCTCACCGTGACGCCGCCATCACTCATCCTATGCCTCTCCAGCTTATACCTCTTCTTCAGATTATCAACCTTGTTCTTGCACTGCTCCACGCTCTTGCTCTGCTTCTCGCATCGCTCGCTAACCGCCGCCGCCACGTCCTCCCAATCTCTCCCTCTCAGATTCCCTCTGTTCAGCTGCGTCAGCTTCTCCATATACGCTTCCAATAAACACCCGATAGCGGCGTCGCTCCATTCTTCTCTGTCTTTTCTATACTCCGTCGTCGATTGCTTCGGTCTCTTCAAAACGCCATCATTTATCTCCTCTTGATCTCTCCTCTTCTCGATCGGAACGTCAGAAGACGTAACGTTATTGTTGTTGTTGTCGAAGTTGGCGCCGCGGAAGGCGGAATCGGAGTCATCATCAGCATCGTGGTTGTCTGGAGGAGGCGCGTGGATCGGCGCGTAAGAAGGGTGGTGGTGATGGTGGAGGACGTGGTGGTGGTTTGGGTTGGTTTGGTGGTCGTCGAGGAGAGAGAAATCGTCGTCAACGGAAGAGGCCATGGGGGGGCGTTAGGGTTAGGGTTAGGGTTGGGGGAAAGGGGAACGGTTCGAACGGAAGACGTTAGGGGAGGAGGGAGAGACGCTGAGGAGAGAGTGGGAGGGCGGTCTGACGGACCGTGATGGACCGTGACGGATAGAGACGGTTCCGTTAAGTAATGAAGGAAAGTAGGAAACGAATTCCCACGTGGGTGGGACCCCTGTCGGTCAGGGTTGGCATTGGGCATCTCTGATTTGGTCCTTGTGTTCTAAGGTCGTCGACTTGGTTTGGTTTGATTTTGAATTGATAAAATTGGGTTCAAGACGGGCATTAACTTGGGTTCAAGACGGGCTGTATTCATGGGCCTTTCATCAAAATTGAGTCAACATTAATTCTTCTAAAGCCCACCTTAAGGAGAAGGGAGGGCAAAATTGTATGCTTGATCCGTATTATTTGCTGCTTAGAGCAACTAATTAATTCAACTTAGTCTTTAACATAATTTGTTGAAAATAATTTTTTAAATATTTTATTAAAAATTTTAATATTTTTTATTATATAAATATATTATCAAAAATATTTTATATTATTTGAATCATTTTATAAAAAATATTTTCATCATCACCCATTTTCAAAAACCTTTACACTTTTAAAAGTTTTTTACGATGGCACCATAGAAATATCAGTATTAAGAAATTATGAAAAACATCTAAAGTCTAATTTTTAATATTAAAAATATTATATATAAATATTAAAATAACAAAAAACATACATATAATAAAAACATCTTACAAATATAATTAATCATTATACAAATATTTATCTTAAATAATAAAAATTATAATGAAAATATAATTAATTAACCTACAAATATATTGTCCTCCATAATAAAAAAAATCTTACTTATCCAATCATCATCCAACAAACATACCATAAACAACAAAGCCTAATTAATACCCCACAATACATGAAATTCTCCAATCAAACTCTTTAAATGACGTCACAGTTAACCATAAATACCCTTGCTTTTCACGTTCTATTAAATAATCAAAGAAAAAACAAGAAACACCCAATCAAAACCTTCCATATTTATCTCTTGCTCGTAAAAGGATAGCAGGATCAATTTTGTTGTCACTTACTTTCTTACGAAAGGGGTAAACCTCTACCTGTCTGTCTCTTCCAATTTTAGATGCATTAGATCAGCTTCGGTGCTCCTAATTGTTATACCTTTTTCAATAATTAATGTCATTTTATTATATATGTTAATTTTTTTATTGATGAAAAGATCATGCTTAACCATCAAAAGAAAAAGGAATCATTTTTCTAACATATAATCTAACAACTATATAATTTTTTTAAGATATGTGAAAACTATATGATATAAAACTTAAATAACAAACTTGTCCAAATCGTTACTTCATCTTTATAAATTTGTCTGTTTGCAACAATCATCTTTAAATTGTTATTAAATGCAAATCCATTCTTAGCTATGGGTTTTGTGATAGTATTTCATTTATTTTCAGTCTTTATATGGTTTTCTTATAGTTTGCCTCGCATTGAATTTTTCATTCTCGTAATATATTAATGTTAGAAACTAAAAACAAAAAGATGAAAAAACTTACATTCTCGTAACCATAATCAATCCACATAACGAAGCCCATAACTAAGGGGTGCAATCCAGTCTTTATCCCAACAATCCAACTTTCTTTTACTATTGACAACTCCACCTCACTTACCAACATCGTTGGTATATCCACCTCATCTCTAACAAAAGCTCCACGTCACCATCTCTTGTCCACCTCATTTTCATCTCAAATCCTCCTTAACAGGAATTTGAACTCAATAAACAAATTAGTTTTAAGCAATTTAAATTAACTTAACTTAAAGTGTCATAAAGAAAAATGGATGAAACGTGTTACATGCCGTACGAATGAGGTACTACTACATTAAGGCCTACCTAATTAAAAAGAAAGTCAACTATAGCAAAAATAGAGCAACTAGGCTGCCTACTCCTAAAGAGAAAGTTACGTAGAGTGAATACGCTATATATTGACTTTTACATGATGGGTTTATACAAATAACAAAATGTTTAGTGTTTGATTAATTAAAAACTTGCCTAACGATGTGACAGTGGACAACCCATAGGCATGGAATCGATGACGAGAAGAAAATTGCTCATGTAACATAAAAATAATGAGTCATTATCAAAGATTGTACAATGAATTTTCGTTAGACAAGGATTTTGTCCCCGATATAGTTAATTAATAAAGTTTTTACTGTTTGGTTATTCTCTGTAACAGGATTGTGGATTTACCCACCATTTTAGTTGAAAAAACAGACCATCTGGTATTTAATGGGAAACAGGAAGCATGGAATTGAATAGAAGATTGCACGATTCAACACAAATGGATTATTCAGAAATTTCAGATTGTTGTCATGGGTTTTGTCGTCCAGCTGTTTAAAAAAAGAAAGAGACAGAGGGAGAAGCTTGTTGGTTATGGGAATTTCATGGGATTTTCTTTGATTTGACCAAAACTCAGGTTTGGGCCTAAAGGACTTAATGAGCCCATCCTTTGATGCACATGTAACAACGTGTCCCACCGACCTCCTCCCAAAAGTAAAAACACGACAGCCCATAGGATTTGACCCTTGCGGTGTCTCAATTTCTGTCAACTCTCTCAACATTACCTTGTGCGGATCCAACTTTCTACCTCTGGCAGTTCAAAATCGTCTAGAACTCTTCCCGCTCCCTGGAAAAATCACCATCACCTAATCGCCCAAAAGCACGTGCCTCTATTAAAAAAAAAAAAAGGAAATAATAACAGCGTCCGCCACTCTCCAAACAGCAACGCACTCTCACCATCCACCCAATCATAACCATTCGTTCTCAGCACGGGCGGCTTGTTTGAGTGGGAGTGTGACAATTACCTATCCCCTTCGCCAAGAAACTGTACGGTCCACGTTTCGGCAACCCTATCAAACATCAAGAGTCATTAAAAGCCAACCGTTCGATATTCGCCACGTGTACTAAGAATGAAAGAAATAAAAATCGCCGAAAAATAAAAATAAAAGTGGGAAATAGTCATCTGGTTGTGGTGGAACCTGGTTTTCTGTACTTCGTTCAATAAAAAGGGTAGTTAACTCAGAACAAAAGCATATTCTTTGGTTCAAGCTTTACGAAGGCGAAAGCCAAAAAAATTCCCTTCGTTCTTCCAACGCAAGAGCTCTCGATCAAAGGATTCTCTGAAGGGAAATTGATTTTTTGTTTTAATCGGCGAAAAAAATGCATTCGAGTCATCTGCTTCTAGAAGAGCCCATCAGGATGGCTTCAATCCTGGAGCCATCGAAGGCTGTAAGTATCACTTTGTTTTTTTAATCAATCTGTTTTGTTTTGTTTTTGTTTTTCCTGGGGAAGCTGATCGGATCGGAGTAGATTTGGAATCTGATATGTATGTTGTCTTTTTTGCAGAGTTTTTTTCCGGCAATGACGAAGATAGTTGGAACTTTGGGTCCTAAGTCTCGATCTGTCGATGTTATTTCCGGTTGCCTTAAAGCTGGAATGTCCGGTACAAATTTTTGCTGCCTTACGTTCCTTTTAATATTACTGTATTATTGGATTTAGGATTTAGTTTTTTTTTCTTTTTTGGCTTTGGCAGTGGCTAGGTTCGATTTTTCGTGGAGTGACGCGGAGTATCATCAGGAAACTTTAGAAAATTTGAAGGCAGCCGTAAAGAGCACTAAGAAGCTTTGTGCGGTATATTTTTATTGTAGTTTGGTTCAATTTTGTTAGTTATATAACTGTTGTTTGCTTCCTAGGAAAATTGTCCGTCTTAATGTGAACTTTGTGTTCGGCAGAAAACAATGGAATTTGTCATGTTTTCCGTTTTCAAATGGTTTTTGAGATTATTTTAGGACATTTTTGGTGTGAATTTTGTCACTAATTTTACTTCCCTGTTCCTGAATATTGAGTGTGGCAGACAATGCGTGGTTGATTGCTATTGAAGTACAGATTGGTCATTGATTTCTTTGATGGGAATAATGAAAGTTAAGAAAATCAAGTGATATCTATATGTTTTTGCCTTTCAGGTTATGTTGGATACAGTGGGTCCTGAGTTGCAGGTTGTTAATAAAAGCGAGAAAGCCATCTCGCTTCTGGCAGATGCTACTGTTATCTTGACGCCAGATGAAGGACAAGAAGCCTCTTCAGAATTATTGCCAATCAATTTTGATGGATTGTCAAAGGTTCAATGCTAGTCCACATTCTCTAATTGCATTTTGTGTATCCTGTGTTGTTTGCTCTGAGAAAGTATCTGCATGAGTCTTGTTTTCTTGCCCTTCGGTTCTGTTGAAGTTTTAAAGATAATGTGTTTGGGAATGTCTGATTCTATTGTACATTTTTTTTTATATAGCTTTTTGCTAATTAGGGGTTGGGAGGCATTTGTTGGCTCATGCAGTGCTTATACATTCTTGACACTGAAACTTAGTGTGTCAATTTTTCACAGTTAGCTTGAAAGAATTTTCTATTTGCTGGTGGTTGCCCTGTTTCTTTGTGCAATCTTTATGACAAACCATTCAATCTGGTTTTTCAGGCAGTGCAGAAGGGAGACACTATTTTTATTGGTCAGTACCTGTTTACTGGGAGTGAAACCACATCTGTATGGCTTGAGGTAAGAAAAGTGGAACACAAATGGTGAATCTTTCTGTTTGTGTTTGTGTTAAAGTTGGCTGTTATTTTACTACCTATTTGTCGGTTGTTTAATTTGGGAATTTGAGCTTTATGATTAAAATTCTTATGCACCTAGCATTGCATAAATTGTGACCGAAATTGTGCAGGTTAGTGAGGTGAAAGGAAATGATGTGGTTTGTGTGATAAAGAACTCTGCAACATTGGCTGGGTCATTGTTCACTTTGCATGCCTCTCAAATTCGTATTGATTTGCCTACTCTCTCTGATAAAGACAAGGAGGTGAGCTTGCCTTTGATTTTGGCCTTTTAATTATCATAAACTAATGCAGATAGTAATCTCTCTCATAGTAAGTTGTAGCTTGTTGTCCTGATATTTCCATGGAATACCATTTGTGATCTGTTGATAATTACTTCAGGTTATAAGTACCTGGGGAGTTCAAAACAAAATTGACTTCCTCTCACTATCATATACACGACATGCAGAAGATGTTCGGCATGTATGTATTCCTTGTGCTTCACTCCCCCCATCTGGGTTTTTTTCCTTTTTTTTTTTTTAAGTTTCTTCATTTCTCCGATTGCTCTGTTATGCCCTTTGTAGGCACGCGAGTTCCTTTCAAAGTTGGGTGACCTCTACCAGACACAAATTTTTGCGAAGATTGAAAACATAGAGGTGCATTACATATTCTATTTGCAAAAACAATGAATATACATAGTTTGATTGCACATGCTGTGAACAAGGACGTGACATTAATGTTTTTCATATTTCAGGGATTGAACCATTTTGATGAGATTCTAAAGGAAGCAGATGGAATCATTCTTTCCCGTGGAAATTTGGGCATTGATCTCCCACCTGAGAAGGTCAGTTTCGTAACTTGAACAAGCAGCCATTTTGCAGGTCTTACTGTAAATTTGGTTAGTAAGTCATGTCATTATAAATACTAGAGACCCAATCTGTTGAGGGCTATTATGCATCAGTTCTTCTGCGAAACGTATCTTGTTGAATATACCATGCAGTTTATTGCATCGTGTACAACTCTATTTCATAATTTTTTGTTAGTAGCCTTGGTCCTAGTTTTAAATTTACATAAATTAGTTCAATATTTGGATATAGTGCTTAGGGTGGCTGTTCGTTAGAACTTGCTGCTAATCAGCATCTCTTTTCTATACAGGTGTTCTTATTTCAAAAAGCTGCCCTTTACAAGTGTAACATGGCTGGAAAGCCTGCAGTGGTCACTCGTGTTGTGGACAGTATGACTGACAACTTGAGGCCTACTCGTGCTGAGGCAACTGATGTTGCCAATGCTGTTCTTGATGGTATGTTACCATGCTATATTGTGGACATTTGCTGCTTTTGAGTTTGTCCATTGATACTCCCTAATAATTTCATTTGAAATTATTTGTTATTGCATGCTATATGTGATAAGATATCACTGATATAAAAAATCTATTATTTTGTTCATTGGAGTTGGGAACTGTTTTTGGCAAGCATGCAAATAATTTTCTACTATAAATAGTTATTGCTCCCCCCATGCAACACAGGATTTAAACCTGCTGTCCCATATTCTGATTGCTGCAGGAAGTGATGCTATTCTTCTTGGTGCTGAGACCCTGCGTGGGTTATACCCTGTTGAAACCATTTCTATTGTTGGCAAAATTTGTGCAGAGGTAAATTTTCTCTATGTCTCCTAAACTTGCGTAACTTAAAGCTTTTAACTTATGCAGCCCCAACTTTGGAGACTTGTGACCTTGTTGCCCTGTGACAGACTTTATAATATGGTTCTGACTTACAAGACTCACTAATGTAGACATTTTTTTTTTCTGAACTTTCTGCTGCTTGGTTGGGACATGGACATCCAATCCATGTTTATGTGGTTCATAAGGGAAAAAAACACTGCACTTTCCCTTTTTCCCTGACAGCTGTCTCCCTGTGGTTGAATGAAGTATCCTTCACAGGGATGAGTCTCAGATCCATACCTTTTTTTCTAGTCAATTTATTGTCTTAGGCTATGGGCTATGGTTCTACTAGATTTTTCAACTAAGAAAAACCCAAAATGACATAACACTTGCAAGACCTATTTTTCTTGTAGTATTCCCATTGGTGATGAACCTTTCTGCAGAAATTTGACCTTCAATCTTAAGTAAGCAAAAGCTTATGCATTGATACACTTTTTATGAAAGAATGCATAAATTCTGCATCAACTTTTGGTTTGTAATTTGGGTGCTTTATATTTATTGTTAAATTGCATGGGATACCAATTAATTTGCCATGCATATCAGTGAGATGGATCACATAATGTTCTGGAAATATTAAAGTGAAAAATTATTATCAATGTTCCTTTTTCAGTTTCTAAGTATTTACAATTTGGGATTATTCATTTTTATTATAAAATTCCATAGGCGGAGAAGGTTTTCAACCAGGATCTATATTTCAAGAAGACTGTCAAGTATGTTGGAGAACCAATGACCCACTTGGAATCCATTGCTTCCTCTGCGGTATTTATCTGTCCCAATTTTGCTCTTCTGATATATGTTTTGATCATTATCATAGTGGCCCTTTACCAACATTAGTTATAGCTAAATTGAGTGCATATCTGCAATGTGTTTCTGATAGGCTGAATTTCTTGTTTAGGTACGGGCAGCAATTAAGGTGAAGGCATCAGTTATTATATGTTTCACATCCTCAGGGAGAGCTGCAAGGTATGCCATTGCCATATGATCAAGTTTGATTAGATATGAGCTGTTTTCTTTTTCTTTTTTGTCCCCCAAGATTTTCCCTTTTTTCACTTTTGTTTGATGATTTTCTCTTTTTTCACTTTTGTTTGATGGACTTTTTTTTCATTTTTTATGTTGGGGCTGGGGGGGGTTGTTAATGGGAACTTGTAGAAGGTCTATTTATTTCATTTCTAACATTCTACATTAAGTAGACATTGATTAATTTATGTCACTTCTGAATGTATTCTATGTACCAGATTGATTGCAAAGTACAGGCCAACAATGCCTGTTCTCTCTGTTGTCATCCCTCGCCTTAAGACAAATCAATTGAAATGGAGCTTCAGTGGGGCCTTTGAGGTATGTCATTTACCTTGAATCCTGGATGTTCAACTAACTGTGTAGAAGTTAATTTTGTTGGTTTTATGGTGTGGTATAGTCGACATCAACATATCCAAAAGTGGGAAAATGCTCACTTTTTGATTGTGCAAGTGTTAGTAAAGTAGTCAACTGGTTCCATTGTTCTAGTCTTTTCTATCTTGCTTTTCTGTAAAAATGTCTAGACTTGGGGAAAGACTTTTGTCTTGGCTGGTCTTTTGAATTCTTTGACTCATTGATGTTGTAGAACATCCTGTGTTTGGTTGTAAACCATCTGGAATGACTTGCTGTATGACCTGGCTGTGATGGAATGCAATCTTAAGTTTTGTCTTCACCTGAATGTATATTTTCTGCCTAGTGGTGGTGATCTGCTGTACACAACTATGGAAAAGCCTCCTTTCCTTGTGCTGAAATCAATTTGGTCATCATTTTCAGAACATATGTTTTGTTTTATTAAGCTTGGTTTACCATTAAACCGTCATAACAGTTGTCAGTTTTTCAGATGCAGTTTATAATGCCTTGCAGTAGTCATCTAAAAGAAGAATATGTGGTATAATTCTGTTGCAGAAGTCTCAGAAGTCGGCCTATTTTTGTTCTTGACTTTAGTTTACATTGCTAGTTAATTTGTAGAACTATACAGTCTGTTGATGGAATGTTTCTTGTGTGGCTTATGCCCATTCGTTGGTGCTAATGGAACTTATTACCTTGTTTCTTCCGAATCCTTCAGGCAAGGCAATCCCTCATTGTCAGAGGTCTTTTCCCGATGCTTGCTGATCCACGACATCCCGTAAGTACTGCTTTATGCCAATTGTTGCTATGTTCTTCAAGTCTGCAAGAAACTTGTATTTTTGTTTACCTGAGAACTGATATGGATCTGCAGGCGGAGTCTACAAGCGCAACAAATGAGTCAGTTTTGAAGGTTGCCCTTGACCATGGGAAGGTTTCAGGAGTTATCAAGTCTCATGATCGAGTCGTTGTTTGTCAGAAGGTTGGGGATGCTTCTGTCGTAAAGATTATTGAGCTTGAGGATTAGACCTAAAACATTTTTGTCGTAGTCAGTCTGGGATTTTTTCCATCCTGAGTTTTGAGAGCGGTGAATGGACTTTACTTTTATTTAGGAGGTATTGTCTCCAGGATTTGGAGATGCATGGATTTGGAATGTATTAGGAATACACATTTACATATTGGTAATTATTCTAGCCTATTCAGAAAGAATCCCATGGAAAATATGCTCATGTTCCTGGTTTTCAATTTGATGCGTAGGCGAATAACATCCTAGTTCCACATGCTTCAATGGATTTTGATTTTTGTGTTGGTTCAGCTCCATATAATCATGCTGATTTTTGTGAGACAAATTGCTTTTTATTTTGAACGTTACGCCGTATGCAATCAAACTGGTTAAACCTATGAAGCTCAGATATAGCCGGTTTAACTTTTGCAAATCTAGATTGAATATTGATCCGTCTTGGTTACAGGGTAATAGCAAAGCTAGGACGTCAGCGTTGTGCGTTTTCATTGTTGAAACTTTAAAGAAGCAGCCGGTTTTGGCCTGAATGTTTTAAGATTAAGCAGGTTAGGAGCTTAAATCTCTCGCCAGCAATACCTATCGACTGGCTAATGCGTAAATGAGTTGAGCGTGTATATTATATTATCCTTAATAAAAATGCATATCTCCTAAGAAAGCGCCTGTGGCCTAATGGATAAGGCGTCTGACTTCTAATCAGACGATTGTGGGTTCGAGTCCCATCAGGCGTGCGCTATCCATCAAATTTTCGAGGATTTATATCAACATAGATATTATATTTTCTATTTCTCGACAAGTTTTGGTTCCTGCGAGGTGCGCTCCATTTTTATTTTACAATCTCTTTCATTGATTTTTCAAGATTAACATAAGATTCTTTTCTTCCTCCATTTTCCAGAGTTTTTTAGGCACCATATTTTGTTTGCTTCTTTAGCTAGTTTTTGTTTGTTGCTGGAAAATCCGAATTGATCCGCTATAGAGGGAAAACTGGCACAGCTTCTATTTGGATTTTCCAGGAACTTCCACACTCCAGAGGAGACTTGCAAAGAGCACCGCATGAAACTTCCAAGTTTTTAACACAATTCTGTTTTCTAGGATAACAACCTCAGACAATCTTACAGTTGTTTAGACAAGAAACCATCAGAAACATTGTTTGTTTTCCTTTTTGCCATGCAGCTCCTTAGTCCTCAATCACTTCACAATATGAGCATTCATTATTGCTACCGAAGACATTTTTTTCTGGTAAATTTTGTTCATAGAATGCAATTGACATGTGAGAGAGCCAAAACCTCTTTCATCATGATACAAGATTGAAAGCACATAATTCATATATCAAATAACTAGATTTCATAAACAAAAGCAGAACAACCTTTCATATAAAAGTATCTATCTGATCAAAAACTCTAAAATCCCTGTCTAACGTGACCTATCGTATGTTACATTTCTCATCCAGTGATGGTAGATGGGTCTCCCCTCTTGCTTGACGAATGCTGCTGAGGTTGATGTTGGTGCTGAACATCAACAAACTCCAACTCCTTCTGCCTAACAAGCAGCACCATTCTCTCATTTTCCAGCCGCCTGCGTTCATTCTCAAGCTTTGCTTTCTCCATTTCCCTCTCTTTCTTGCCACTGAATTTGACCCACTTGAGCCTTTGCTTCTCAAGCTCGAATGCTTGGTATTGGTAGCTCACTTGCTGCTCTTCCAATTGCATTAGCCTCATTTTCATCCAATGCTTCTTCTCCCAAGCACTCTTTGACCCATCTTGTATCACATTCACCACTTCACAGCTCAATTGTTGCATCAATGGTGATAATGACATTGCAAATGCTCCCTTTCTTGGCCTTTTACGTGAAGACTTTTCATCGTTGTCTTCATCATCTTCTTGACCGTGTCCATTGTGGCCTCTTGAGTGACCATCCATGGCCTCTTCATCATCCTCATCCTCATCATCATCAGAGTCATCATCTTCATCATCATCCTCTTCTTCACTGCCTACTTTAGCCAATTTCGATGCCTCTGGATCCATTCTACCCGAATTGCCTGCAATTTGGGCAGCATCTGATGAATGGAGGCATCGTTGTTGGTTTGACGCTTGCTGGTGCTGAATCTGGGATGTCTCAGTGGCCACCTCTGGAGAATGATTAGCACCACTAGCCCCAGCAGTTGCACCATGGCCACAGCTATTATGATAAGCACACATTTCCCTGAAAAACAAGTGCTTAGAATTCAACAATTTTCTAACTTCTTCCTTCATTTTCGGGGACAAATCCATTGTATCAAGCAAGCTTTGATTCTCCACCACCTTACAAGCTGTTCCTCTACCAAGTATATCATTAACCCTCTTATACCTCTTATTCAAATCATTGAACTTGTCTTCACATTGTTGTGGTGAAACATAAAACCCTTTCTCCATCATAGCCCTCGAAACCGATTTCCACTTCCCTTTCTTTTGTAATAATCCACCAGCCTTTTTCTTGCCAGCAGGATCATTCCCTTCTGATCCAGCTTCATCACCAATATAATAAACCGCCATTATAAGCAGCCTAACCATGCTATCAGTCCATTTCATTCTTTGCCATGGAGATATTTTTCTCTTAGCATCAGCAGCACCATCATCGGGAGTAAAACCGGGTTCATCTTCATCACTAAGAGGGGATAGTTGTTTAGTTTTGGAAGCAAAAGGATAGCCTTGTTTAACAGATTGTTGGTGTTGTGATTGGTCAGTTTCGTGATGGGAATAAGCGACCATTTGTGGGTGATGATGTAACTGATGTGGGTTTTGGGCACTTTGGGGGTTTTGAGGTTGTTGTTGTTGTTGGGGGTGTAATGGCATTTCAAGGCCTAACATTCCTGAACCAATCCCAGAAAACATCCCACCAGGCAAACCATTAGTTTCCATTCAGAACAATAATAAAAACAGCTCTTACAAGAATTATTGGAGATCTCAAATACCCTGTCGAGGTAAATGTCATTGGCTACTACTTGTTCACTTTTTCTGAATTCTTAACAGGCAACAAAACATAAATTCCTAACAGGCAAGTGACAGAACCAAAAAAAAAAAACTAAAAAGGCATACCCAGTAAAGAACTGACTACCATTGAGTTGTAGCAATCACCAGGCACCTGAAAACTTCTTCTTCTTCTTCTATACCCAGAAAAAAAAGGCTGTGAGTGCCCTTTCTTTTAGATTTTCAATAATGTAACAGAAGAAAACAACAATATGAGCAGCGAGAAAAGAAAGGTGAAGCGAGTTAGAGTGCAATTGATTGAGAGATATAGAAAACATAGATAGAGACAAAGAGTATTATACAGAGAGCTGAGCAGCCGGTTTTAGTTTGGCCAAAAGCTATTTCTTTGTGCTGTGGCAGAAAAACTGCCCATGGTTTTTTCGGTTTGGTTTGCCTCTAACGGCTTTCGATGCAAAAACCTTTGGAACCCACAGAAACTTCAAAACTACGGGGTGGAGATTGGAGAATGACTTTAATCCTCTACTTTTTACCAATAAAATATTGCCCTTTCCTTCAAATTTTTATAGATTTTCATTTCGCATGTAAGCGAAAGCTACAATACCAAAAGGCAGAAACCATGGCAGCACTTCTAATTTTTTATTTTCTTCCTTCTTTTGAGAGCTAGGCAGGTCTCAATCCTGGTGCCAATTTGGTAACCCATTAGAGGTAGAAAATTGTGGAATTCCTGCCCCATCAACATTAAAAATCCATAATTTAAATTTTTAACTGTCTAATTTGTTACATTTTCTTTAGACCAAAGTCTGGGTGCTTACCTTCTGATGAAATGGAAACAAAGTTGACCACACCCTTTTTCTTTTTTTTTTCCTGTGCTACTAGATTTCCATTTCGATTAAAATAATCATCAGTTTGTATTAAAAATGTGGTCTATTTCATTTGACACTGACCCAAGGAAGGCCCATGGATTTGTTTTGAGAGATCCACCCTCTTCGATTATCTTCTTGTTATAACATTATATAATATATTAATACTAGGCAAAAGGAACTTCCACGAGTACCCCAAGTTCATATTTCTCGAGTCTTTGTTGTTTTTTCAATGAACTCTACCAAAACCAAAGAATTTTAGAGCTCATAAAGAATGCTATTCTTGACCAAATATTACTATCCTTGTTATTTACATATCTTATTCAAGCATTTTCTTTTAAATTATTGTGGATATAAATATTTTTCCCTTATGTGATTCAATACATTTTTTCTATAAAAAAAATTTAATAATCTTATTATAAAATGGTTAAACCACATAGATAATCTTATAAATATTAATTATTTTTATACTCAAAGAAAGAAAAAAGAACACTTGTGATTCAAGTTTTGCTTTTAAGGAAACTCAATCAACGTAGGTCTTTAATTTTACTTCATTCACCAATCAGGAAAAAGATAAAAGTATGGCAGAACTGAACCTAATGTACAACTTTTTTCTTTATATGTATAGTAGTACATAGGAATATAAAGCTTAAAAGTATATAACACACTTATAATATATGGGTATTTTCTAAACTTTTAATCTAGGGCTTGGGTTCGGAATGAGGAGGCTCAATTTACTTTTGACTTATTAGCTTTTAAGTGCCATAAATTATATGTCAATAAAAATGTGATGAGTTTTTGGTATATAAATAAAGAAATTTTTTTACTTAACAGTCATATTCTTTAATTAAAAACATTAATCCATCACATATAGTATCAAAGTAAATTTAAATATATAAATATGAAATTCTCATAAAATATAAGAGTTGAGATAAAGTTAAACAGATAAGAGTCTATCTTTTTTATGGGTAAAGAGTTATATAACGAATAGTCATTACATAATTGAATAAGATAAAAATTCACAATTTTATATTAATAAATTATAAAATAAATATTAATATATATATAATTTTTTTATATTAGAAACGTGAACTCACGTTAAGTGTGCTTTCGAAAAATGAAACTAACTTTGGGCTATGGCCAGATCCCATTTGGTTTTTCAACAAGACAAGATCGGCTCTTTGAATCAAGTGTCTCTTCATGGGCCATGGCCAAACCATTTTGACTTGTTAGGGCCGTAGCCAAGGCAGCCTGGTCCATTCCAACATGGAAAATTTAATGGGCCTGAATGCTTTAACGTTTCCGGGAAAACTGCCTAAAGACAAGAAAATTTTCCCCTTTGAATATTTCTTACTTTCCCACTTTCTTTTTGTCGTTTGAACTTAAAGTAATGATTAATAATTATCAAAATAAAAGGGAAAACTAATGATTAATCTGCATTAGTTCTTCTTAAGTAATGGAAAATATGGTTTTGAAGATGCCTTATAATTTGTACCGACTTTGTCTAATTCTTAACAAAAAAACACATTGCCAATATTTCCTTAACATTTTTAGAGCCACTAACGAAAGATTTTTGGATATGGTTATATGTATTCCTAGAAAGTCATGTGTTTCACATGGCCGCACATGAGACATTAAAGGAGACAAACCAAGACAAGACAAATAAAAACAACATAGTATGAAACCCTGTTTTCTTTTCGTTGCACAATTGCCTCCCAGCTAAGGTCAAGCATTGCATGTGTCCCTTTTGTTACATTGAGGAATTCATTTTATTGCAATGGAACAATTCTGTGTCTCTCTTCCATGTCGCAGCCCCTCATCACTTAATAATTGAATGGATGAGTTTATAATAAAATATTAAGTTGTAATTTTGTTGCAAGTCAAAGCAAAATGCAACGTGGTCATCTTGAAACGTTACGTGTCTAACCCAATGATGTTGTCATTGCATTAATTTGTTCTTTTTTTTGGATACAGGATTCCGTATAGTTATCGATAAATTATATAAATACGTACAGATATCAACTGATATATTGTTATAGGACATCGAGACTTTGGGTGTTGTCCCACTTCTAGCACATTCCCACACACACCATCGATAAGTCATGTAGACGATCTAATAAATTGTCACATGGATTGTGAGAATTTAAAAAATATCGATATATCGAAAACATATCACTTACTATTATTATTTTATAATTATTCAGTTACAATCATAAATTATATAAAATTTATTATGAAATATTTTATTATAAAATATAAATAAAGAACACCCTTGTTATTTGAAAGAGAGAAAACCAATTTTCATCAAAAGAAACCCTCTTCTAATACAAGTCTATTTGTTTAGTTATGAAGGGTAGTTTTTAAGTCCAAATTAGGTTCTCATACAAGTGTTATAAAAAAATTATGAAAAATAAAAAATATAAAATAAAATAAATAAAAACAGTAAGAGGAAGTTTGAAGTATGGTATCACTATCTTTAAGAATAATTTAAGTTTTATCGGAATATAAAACTCAATATAAAAAGACGGTAGGGATTATTCTTCAAAATTCAACAAACCCTTTTTAAGTAGTTTGCATGATGACAGAAACAGCAAAAAGAAAGAACTCAGCTAGAGAAGAAAGGAGGTAAAAAAAAATTTAACAGAGAAAGCTTATAAAATGAAAGCGTTTGGTGTGTGTTGTAAGTAAGGATGTGAGACCGTATTTATAAAAAAAGAATAAAGTAAACGTTACACCAAATAAGGTGAATGTTACACTAGATCAATGAGTAAAAAAAAGTTTAAAAAAAAGTTTAAAGAGTTAGAGAAAAATATGATTAGATTATATTTTGAGTCAGGTATACGTTGTAGTACTTAGTAAGCTAGGTAAGGAGTAAGAGAAAAACATGTTCAGATTGTATTTTCAATCAAGTTGTTGCACTAGATCAGGAAGTTGAGAAAAAAGCTCTAGGGGTCAGAGAAAAACATGATCAGATTATACTCTGAGTCAAGTATACGTTGTAGTACTTAGTAAGCTAAGCATGGAGTAAGAAAAAAACATGGTTAAATTATATTTAAACGTTATAATATTTAGAAAAAAAATTAAAAATTTCTCAAAATCTCATTTCATAAGTTTTCATATATAAAACATTCACCTGTATCTTGATAATGTAAGATATTTGAATCTTATGAAATATACTATTTTTCACAAAAAATTTTGTCAAGTTTTAAAATACATATTGGAATTTGGAGTGGCTATGCATGTTCTTTTTCAGATTCATGACAATCTACAAGAAAACTGGTTAAAGCTGGCTAGCAATCATAAACATGATGGGGCCATAATATCTTCATCACAATCCAGTTGATAGTTGTAATTCTATGGAGATTCCATGGGTTTGTAGGTGATCAAGTCATAAAATTGCCAATTTTGCAGCATTTCAGAGAGTTCCTTCCAACTTTTCCTAGCCTTGCGTTTTGCAGCTGTGTGAGTTCACCTGATCGGGGGCCAAAGCCCTTTTGTAGAGATAAATTGTCGATGTATCTTTCTATCATAATCCAAGTCAAATCTTTGTTCTTACCTTTACCTACTCAATGACGTAAAAACAGGAAAAAGGAAGGAAAAATGTCAGAGCCGTGCATGGTTTGTCAAGAGAAACCCACTGAAAAGACTCAGCAATGCTGCAAATCCTTGGACACTTTGCCACATGCATACAAAACTTGTTCATCATATTATAATTCGACTACCGTTCCAAGAAGGGCAGAAGTGTCGGTGGTGATGGAGACATTGAATTTCTATGAAGTCATAAGATCAGAGTGAATAGGAGAGAAGATCATAAACACAAACATAAACATAAACATAAACATAAACCCTGTTGTCTCATTTCCGGGACGTGATGTGCAGCCAATGACCACAATTTCTTTCCAATTCCCTGACTTCGAATTTAGCAATTATTTTCTTTGTTGGATTTTAAGTTTTATAGTAATTGTTTGTTTTAAACAATACAAGGGGCGGAGCGTCCCTTCACAATTCGGGGGGCCGTGGCCTCTCTAAAACTTTTAAAAGTTTTTATATTATATATATATATTCATGAGCCTTAAAAATAATTTTTTATCATATTAATACAATATGTTATATATATTTTGTAACGGGTTCTTAAAATAAATTTTTATTAAATTATTAATATAAATAATAAAATAATCTTATAAATCTATTTAACTTTATCTTATTTTTGAATTTTTTTCCTTTTAAATCTCTTTACACTTCTTTCCATCTCTTTTTTTTTTCTTCTCTTTTGTTTTGTCATCGTGAAATTATCAAAAAATATTTTATTTATTATTATTATTATTATTTGTTTTTTTAAAAAATTTTATGCTATTTTATTAAGCTTTCATCGCCAATTCATTCTAATTCTTTAACCTTAAATTTATTTTTCCTATAATTTTTGGATGGCTAATTAAAGCCTAATTTGGCACTTTCAAGCTTATCATATCCAAATTGCCTTTCAGCTCATTAAGAAAACAAG